TTTAATGGCCATTGTTGTTTAATACGATAATCAATTAATGATAGAAAACGAAGATAAAAATCATCACCAATCGGTTGTGCATCATCTTGTAATAATAGAACATAACTAATATCCGGAAATGATTGAAAATTAGCTAGAATACATTGTAAATGTGCTTGTTTTTCTCGTTCATACATATCGATTATTTGATCTGAATCACTTGTATTAATAATAAAAACTGGTACTAAACGTCGAATTAATTCAATATCATCTGGTATTTTATTGTTGACATTACCATTTTCACATAATGTGATTATAAAACGTGAATGATAATTTTTTAAAAGTTGATAAAGTACTTGACCAACATAAAATTTACCTTCACGACGATCTGTATCTTGTTGACTGTATAAAATTGAAATAATAATATGATCACTAATATCTGTATGATTATTTAATAATATTTGTTTAGGCTTGTGGAATAATGTATACGATGATAAAGATGACTTATTATTTTTCAATTGAATAAAATCATAAAAACGTGATTGATCAGTTTGGTTTGAAATAATATTTGAATAATATTTTGAATTTTTCCATAAATTATCAAGCCATTCATAAGCTTGTTGTTGTTCTTGTTTTTGTTTCTTTATTAAATCATTACGTATAGGTATAATAGATAAAGTTTCAGGTCGAATATATTTTATATTATATAGAAGAGCAAATGGTTTATGATACGATATTAAACTAGCTATGAATAAAACAATTATAAATATATGTAAGTGAATACGTTGATGCCAACGAAATAAAATAAATGATATACTAGATGTTATTTGTTTAGTATAATTTCGGCGATATTTTAAACAATACAAACCATGTTTAATATAATGAAGCATTTCATAAGCACTTATTTACAGAAAAATAATATATTATAGAAGATATACTGTTTCTTATCTGTACCAATAACATGACTGCTTCTTTTTATGATTCATATGTGAAAAAGAGGAAAGACGACTTGCCCAGTTATTCGTTCTCTCATTATTGACACATGTCTGTTAGACTCTCTCTCGTTGTGCATTTTACTCTGTCGTGTGCCTTCTCATCGACGATAGACGACGTCAGTGGTGGGAAGAAGGAAGGAGAAAAATAAGTTGCGTTTTATCATGTTCAACAATAATCCTATGAAAGAAACATAAACGTATTGAAAGTAGCAGTACTGTATTGATACTATCGTTTTTATACTAAATAAACCTTTTACAATCTTTCATCATTCAAAGTTCGATTAAATATTCTCGCCTATATGAACTCATTCATCTGGCATAGCATGAAGTGATACAAAAATCTTGACAATTCATTACTTATATTCAATTTCTGTGTTTTGTTTTTATTGTCCTTCAGATTCGTCAAATGATGAAGAGAAGTAAAAAAAAATGGGATATCCGTCATTTAAATTATGCTTATTTGTTCTGAAATAAATCATAACGTGGATGAAGCAATTGAGTATAACAGTCTACTACCCTCATAGTGATTGTCAAATAATTATTCATATTTTTGATTGTTTACATGAAATATTATTATTGATTGAAGTTGATAAAGTAGATGACAATGTTTTTCTCATTCAAGACTCAAAACAGTGAATCAGCAATTATGTATTGAAACATTCAATGAGCTCAATAGTTGAATCAACTAATGTTCATTGATAGATACACAGATCTCTTAGCTTCAGTTAATGTAAACAACATGCTTGAATCAAAACGGTGTGTACAATCGTAAAGAAACTCAATCCTCAGATTGGTTATCACGTTCGTCTGAATTCATTGCGATTCAGAACTATTGACACACGCTTAAACAAACAGTCAGAAAAGCACAATCAGTTTGTTAAGATGAAGAGTTAAAAGCATGACTCGATTAGAATTGTCATTCCATGCCATACAAAGCCATCTAACAGAATGATTCAGTTACTCCTACTTTATCAAACAAAGAAACAAGCAACTTAAAAAAACTGAATACCCAAAATGTATGTGCCGAAGTCTTCTGTGTGCATTTATATAAATATTATATCCTAAACCTTGCAATGAAAATAAAAACAATTGTTCGTTTCAATAGAAGAGAAAAATTTGTCACACACTGATTAATCAAAACAATAAATCTTTTGAATTTCGTTTTTCTTCTCATTCTTAAAATGAAATAATTATCATGTCACAATCAATTTCATTTATTTTCTTTTGCAAGAGAATCAAATTAGCGTATTTAAGTCATCATTGATTATGTTCGATGACTATTCTTTTTTTCAAATACTTATACAATATGTGTCAGTCTTCTGATTAATGAATTATATTAAAACAGACTGGTAATTGTTCAGTCTTTCGATTTTCTATATCCATGTTTAATAAAACGAAAATTAACAGTGATTATACAAGTCTAGTTTATCTGTTCATACACATAGTTTTACACGCTCGGATTCGCATAACATTTATTGCATTTTTACTATCTATATAGACAGTTTGACGAAAAGAAATTCTGAACAATGTAGTGAATTTAGTCACCAATAAGGCATAAGAAGTCAAGAATCACATGCTCACTAGTCTTCGACACTAAACGCATCATTAATAACCATGATAGTGAGTGCATTACTGAAGAACTCATAACAGATACAATAGGTAGTAATACATGAAGAAATCTTTACTAAGATAAAAAAAACGTTATGTCACGTGAACTCATATATCAGCGTTAGTCTTGAGTTTTATCATTTTGCTTAATTTTATTGAGTATTCATTTCTAAGTATTTGAGAAAACTTTTATTTTGTTAACTATAATTTTGATTATGATTCGGTGAAAATGATTGGAAAAAGCTGACGATAATCATGACTAGATTATATCCGCCAGTCCATTGCAATGATCATGACGTGTATTTCAAGGTTATTTTTTGATTTCTTTGAAAAATTTTTAGAAAAACAATTTAAGATTCAGCAGCATGTGCATGTTTTTTTCTTGCAATGGTTTCCAAATTCACTGCTGAGCATCCAGAAAAAATCCAGTCAACAGAGGTACATATTATTCACAATCATCTCAAATCATCGAAACCAATGATAAGATACTTTTTTTAAGTAGAACCGATTTATATTGGGTGTTATCATTCTATCGAATGATGCTGCTATTGACTTAATGTTGGCTAATATATGGATTCACAAGACCAATGGAGTTTTGAATTACCCGAGTGTCTTGGTGCATGTGCTACAGATGAAATTGCTATGACATTCTTTTGTCAATATTTTTCATATCCAGCTGTGAAAACAGTCTGTTGGAGAGTTATTCGATATGCAAGTACAAACAGTGCAGTAATCTGTACTAGCCATTGTTATCACAATTTTTCATAAGCGAACATTTCTTCGTTCGTTTATGATTTTTTATCGAAAAATAATTAATATTTTAATGAAGCTATTATCTAAATAACTGAAAAATAAAATTGACAACATCACTTTGATTTCTTTTCTTAACTGCTTCTTGATTTCAGTGTCTGAAGTTTTTTAATTCAAAACATTTACTGAGATATAGTCATTTGATTGCAGCTTGATGTTTTAAATGATAATTTTCTAAAATTGAAATTTTATTTAAAAAATCGGCTTCTAAATACGTATTATTTATGCTATTGAATTTATTTATTTCGTTGTGAACATTTTGACAGCAAGACTTTCATAAATTCGTTCAATGGACATATATATATATATGTTGCTCAATCAAAGACATTGCAGTAGATCTTTAATCCAATTTTCTTTTTAAAAATATATAATTTCACAAAACAATTATCTCGGTAGGCTCCCGCCGAAGAATTTATAATGGAATAAAGGAAGGATTAGACTATTGCGTTTCTTGACACTTGGATGAAACTTATATGGCAAGATAGTACAGGAAAAAAGAATCATTTTTTTTGCAAGTAGCAATTAGTGAAAAAATAAAGCTTTTGATTATAACTTATTTGCTCGAATTTCATCATTTAATCTTTGAGAGTTAATTCAAGGTCAAATATGGAGATTGCCCGTAGCAATAATACTATATGTCATGATTACTTGGTCTGTATTAGTCACTATTTCGTCGGTGTTGTACGTATCTTGTTATAACATTAGAACTGATAAACATATTTTTTTCTTTTTTCTTTTTAAACTATACTACTACGTAATAAGTGAGTCTCTATCACAAAATAAAGTAATAACCTTGAAATTTTTACATGATGCTGAAAAGTTATGATTTTTTTAAAGTTTTCCAGTAACTTTAAGTTTATTATAGTATTAACGATGAAAATCAACCGAAAAATTTCACACACCGATAAATCTAGAGTTTTCTATGTTTTCAATTATGACTCAGGAGGACAGTCCTCCAATTGATAAATTGCTTTTAATTGGAGACTATGTACATTTTGTAGATTCCAAGAAACTTTGAACACCTTGAAAAGAGTGAGCAATAAGGTAAGAATACAAACTCTCTTCGAGATATGCATAACTCATTTGGATCTGCATAATGCACATAGTCTCGATTCAAAGCGATTAATCAGCTTGAGGATCTTTCTCGTTAGTTTATCAATTTTCTGTCAATTTCTGCAATTTCGTCGAAGTCTTAATTGATGAGTTCTTATCTTTTGATGAATGTTTGAGTTTTCAAAGTTTCAGGAACATAGTCTTTAACGATATTAGTCACACAACAACAGATTATTCTTATTAGAACTCTATATTAGTAGAATTTACAACAAAAATACAACAAATATATACTTATTAAAAATTAGGCGAGACATAACAATGAATCATATTTTCCAAAAACAAACTGAAACATAAGTAATCATGCTCTTAAAACATTACATTGCACGTAAACAGTCATAAAAAAATAAAAATAATCATCTGCATGGTAATGTCGATCACAACATGAACTAACTAAACAATTTTCTTGCTTAAATGAAATGGAACGCGATATCTCTATTTTACAATATCGAAGTTTGAAATTCTCTGAGTTCTTTCATAAATGACAAATAATTTTCGTTAATTTTTTTCTGGTATATATACATAAATAATTGGATGAGTGAGCAAAGCTGATAATGGAGATGTAAATTTCGATAGATCAATGTGATTTATTTCATTATTTTGTTGAACAAATGATTCAAGTTGAAATTGCTCATCATTTGATAATATATTAGAATGAGAAGGTGATAATATCGATTGATTATAATAAACATACCAATTGTTAGATTGTTTATCTTTATAAAACATTAATTTACTATTTGTTTCACTTGAATCACATAAAATAGCCAATAATTTATATCGAAATAATTGTTGAGAAATATTATTTTCTAATAAATTGTCAATTGATATGTTTGAATTCGGTAAAAATAAACTTTTTGATTTTGACTTTGTTCGAATTAATAAACATTCAGGTAGAGAAACAAGCAATGTTGTACCACTTTTAAGATTATATTGACTAATAGCCATTTGCACAGTTATATATTCTTTTGTATTAGTATATAATGTTAAATAAGTCTCTTTATGATTATCAACAAATATAAGCCATTCTACTTGAGACCATTCATTCACAATTTCGTTGTAAATAGCAAATAATTGTGGATATGAAAGGCTCTTTTTTGTTGATGTAGAAGAATTAGTATTCTGTTTGGATAAATGTAAAGAAGATGGCATTGGTTGGGCACTAGATGATAAATAATTCGAATCAATGAAGTTGTTTCCAAGAGGTTGATTTAGATTCGGCATGGTATCATCTAATAGATTGAAAAAAAAACGACAACAGATTAATATATATATAGCTATTTTACATGAAAACCATATTCTTTTCTTGTTGGTTGATCGATTAGATCTTTTTTTTATCGAGTGGGTCATTTATGAGTGAAGTATATTAAAATTTTTAATATGCTGAATGGATATTCTAATTTTATTATTGAGTAATGAGCAAAACTTGTTGCTCATGAAAATGAATAGCAATATTTCTTACTAGAAAAGTAAAGGACGAAACAATGAAAACAATAAGAGATAAGCAGCATACTTCATAAATTGTATATTTCTATATGATTTATTATATTTTTATGTACATGATGTTTTACGACATAATTATGCATTTCTCAAAAGAAGAACATTTGATTTGTTTCTATTTCAAAAATATCTTCAAGCGCGCATAAATACGAAATACTTGGTTTACACAATAAAGATCAATCAACAATATACGATCATGTGACAGGCCATAAGATCAGTTATGCTGAAGAAGTTTTAAGTCCAGATCTACAAACAATTAAAATTATTCTGGTCTAACTTGTATTTTACAGTGTTGAATAATCTCGATCCATTTTACTCTCCTGTGGCGTTTTTAGATTAAAGAAATAACTATTGTTTATATAGAGCTGCGCGAATACTACCAAAACTTGTACTCTAGTAGAAATATTACTTTTATGAATCGAGAATTTCTTTTGTTAAAGTCGTCCATTCAATCACAGTCATAATCTCTTGCAACTACATTCATATGTCACGAATTCTAATCAAAATATATCTTTACGCATTGTCTACTGATAAATAGAAAGTACACATAAGCAAACATTAATATTCATGCCTCATGCTATCCGATACTGTCATGCACTATGATCTATTATCATCGCTATGTGCATTGAGCGTGAGTGTGAGAATGGGCGGCAGTCTTCTTTTCAACTATATCCACATTAGGGAGTTGCGGGTCGTTTTAGGCCCGAGCTCGAACCGGATCAGTGTAGGTCGTGGTCGATAAAAACATGAACTTGTAACTCCGTACAATGATCGCATAGAACATATTCTTGTTTGATCTTGTTTACATAAACACAACGAAAACTATTTCATACAACTGAAGGTTTGGTAACACCGTTTGTTTAACGATTTTCAATGACAAATTTCGTTTATCAATCAACAATTCAATTTCTTTTTTGTTAACATAACACTCTTTTCAACTAGTATATAAATGAAACGTTTTAATTTATTAAGCATCGAGTGATGAGAAAATGAACCATAAGAAATAACTCTGCGATTTATTCGTTAGTGAAAGTAGCCCATAAATAGGTAAAACTGTGATTCTTCATTTGTTCACGTACAAAGTGAGTGCTAATTATTGATGAAAAAAACTCAAGTCTCAATCCGATTAGGTCCGATTTCAGAAGCTAACCTTCCCTCGGGTCTGTGTCCACAAAAACGAAGGCCTGCAACTCTCTAATCCATACCCAATACATACAGTGATGAAAGTGTATTAGAATATATGACAGTGTAAAATACAAATTTTTTCAGTCCTAGATTCTTTAAGTTTATACATAGAATGATGAGAATACATATCTTGTTGATGAAATCACATGAGTAAATGGAAGTACAAATTATATTTGTATTTGGGCAACTCTGTGTTTATAGCTGTAAAGAAAACGATAGATCAAAATAAATTTGATTCTTCGTGTATAGAGCTCGTCGACTCCAACACTTTCGAACCCGAGCCTAGATATAGGCACGAGACCAACCCGACTGGCTCTATTTGTGAACCCTCTCATCTGTTCTATAATTTTCAAGTATTCACAACATTCAACTCCAGTGTACAACTTAATTCCATTTTTGTGTCGAAATAAGAAACCGATAGATTTTCAGTGTACAATTTTTTAACTATAGAATAAAATTAATAATTGAGAGATAGTTCAAAATCATACTTAAAGGATAAACAGGCATCACATGTTCCTTTGGTTCATCTTCATATTGTTCAAAACCGATATGAGGTCTCTTTTCATTAGAAAGTAGACCTTCAAATCCAATAGGTGATCTCGATTGCATTCTCTTTTCCTATCTAAAAATATCAAATTTATATGATTGCAGAATAATTAAAAACGAAAAAGAAAAGACATAAGATTTTGTAGAAAAAGATTGAGATAAATGAACTAATTGTTCAACATACAAAGATTGCTTTGAAAATAAAAAAAAAAAAAGGAGTATGTCAACTATGTTTGTTTCTCTAACTATGATGTTGAGTCATGAAATAGATATCATAAATAAAAATAGAAATAAAATAAATAGGAATGATATATTGAAAATAAAGAAACCAATTTGGTAATTGAAATGCAATTGGAAGTGAACTAAAACAAAAATATTTCTAAAAAAAAAAATGTCAATCAAATAAATTTACTTGAATTTTGGTGATGATACTTTATAGATCATTATTGCAACAAAAACTCCAATTTCAATACTCATTAAAAGATTTGTAACTTGTTCAAGAACTATTTTAAAACCCTATAAATATTAAGTAACTAGTATTAATATATCAATAAATTTTTTAATCTACAAACTTTCGGTTGACTAAATGCAACTGCAAATACAATTGTAAAGACTATTAATGATAGAGTCCATCGAACAACTCTATCATAAATAGGAATGAAAATTTTGCTACTATAAATATTTCCAAATAAATTACTAACCGTTGTACAGTAAGATAGTTCAAAATACCTCGATATTTTGCTTCAGTTTCGAACGTTACATCCAAATATGAATCAACAACACCATGGACTATAGAAAAATATTCTTAAATAACGAAATATAAATCAAATAATCTCACTTGTATGATATAATATTGAACCCATGGTTATAAATGATACTATAATACTCACTAACGTAAATATTTGAATAAGTACTGAAACATATTTGTAATTATAGGAATTGTTTTCCAGAATCTATTCACAAAAAGAAATAATAAAGAAATCAGAATCTTCATATGAGATGATAAGACAAACTATGCTTAATGGTACAGTTACAATTTCGCCATTTCTTGCAGATCTTTAAAAAAACAAAAAAAAAATTATTATTGGTATATGAAACATTCAAAATTACGACGAATGAAATACGATGATAAAAATCAAATATTATTGTGCAACAGTGGATTAGTATCTTTTCATTGTGAATAAATAACAAAAGCTCTTTCTAGTTGATATCTAAGGGCGTTACATTTCTGTTACTCGGTAATTGGTAATAATTATTATTACTTTGAATCAACAGTTGTTTTGCTTTTACTATTTCGATGATACTCGAGCTTTTATTATCTTTTTACTTGCGAAATATGAAATAATTTCTTATTATTCTATTACTAATTACTTATTATTAGTAATAAAGACATAGGAAATAATAAATTATTGCAGTAATCAAGTAATAACTAAACAATAAATACAAAATGAAGGTGTGTGTGAGTATGGATATGTATGTGAGTCTTCAGTTCACTAACATTCATATTTGAAAAGGAAAAAGAGATATCGATATAGAAAACTGTTGTTACGCAGATGGCGTTTCGTAATAGACTCTTCGGAGCTTACTGGGAATCCTGAGGAATTTTTGGAATCCAAGGAAATTCTGAAGACACGAAGGAATCTTGAACTTCACGATTCCAGCATTTCGTCATTAACACCTTGATAACTCTTCTATTAATAATGCATAAATATTGAAATTACTCTATGCTGGAAAAATGAAACTGAATTTTCTGATAATGTTTTAGTATGGAAGCGAATATTTCTATATCTTATTCGTGTATGATTTTATTACTGTTTTTATGATTTTTGCTTATTATCAGTAATGGTATTGTAGTACCTCTATTGACATCGGTGTTAAATTAGTAGATCTATGAGCAAATTCATTCGTTAGCGACGTAATTTTACAAAATAAAACTGTGTTGTTATTGAAAAACAAGCGTTAGTGATGTGTGATAAAAAATTACAAAAATTTTCATCGCATGCATTTCATTTGACGAAACCTACAAGTTTAAACAGTATCTTTCAAAAGAAACTAATGCGTTTTGTAGAGAACTGTCCAAACTACAAAATCTCAACACAAAAATTTTCCTGAACATGCTTAGGTTTTTCAAAAAATTGAGTGTTTTCGTTCTTAACGACTTGAATGAGCATCCGTATAGATATAAAAAATCCTCTGATCACTGATTGACAAGTTCAAAAATCAATTCTAAATGATACGTATTTTATTAAGAATCTCGACATGATAGTAAAACAAAAAGCTCGTTTGAACACTCTCATCACAATTCTCGTTTGAGCAATTTTCACATCTATACAAAAAACATCAAAAACATCTGTTTTCATCGTAAAAGATTCATAAAGACGCTTGAAACGACAAGTTTGACGTCTCGAGAATGTCAAAAAAGTAATTTTTATCTGCAAAATATGTTAAAATATCATGGAAAAAATGTTGCACGTTTGTCAGATGCTAAAGCCGTGTTTTAAAGTGTCTTCACGCGTCTTTCATGATGAAAATAACTAGTTTTGGTGTTCTGTGAATGAACGTAAAAACAATGAAACGGGAATCGTGATTAATGTGTTTTGAGAAACCTTTGTCTGCTTGGGAAGTAGATCTCTGAAAAAACGCTTGTTAGAAAACAGTTTTTGGGAGTCTGATCTTGCTGAAATTTTCACCATAAATATAAGACAATGGGAAAAAGTTTAATAACAACGTAGTTTTGATTTCTTTTATGGTGCTAAGGCACTAGCTCAAATTCAAATAGTGATTTTAATAGCTAATGGAGTTTTCAATCTAATACATTCTATACTAAATGAACTATGGTGGTACGATTCCTAAAAAATGAAACTTGGTAGTTTCCAAACTCAAGCAGACTTTATCGAAGCTGTTTTTTAACAATGGTATTTTATAGAGCGCCGAATTCTTAACAAAATGAGGGGTCACCACATCTTCTGCACTTTAAAATAATATTCTTGAAAAGTCGCTTCGACAAAGTCTTCTTGGACTTGAAAATTACCATGTTCCATTTTTTTTAGAAACCTTGCTATCATAGTTCATTTAGTATAGAGTGCATTAGATAGAAAAGTTTATTGCCGATTAAAATCATTATCAAGACTTGATCTAGTTGCTTAATATTATAGAAAAAAAAAATAAAAAATACGCTATTGTTAAACTTTTTTCTGTCATTTTGGTTTGTGATGTGTAGTCTATCATAATGTAGGAGAGTTACTTACTAATTACGTTTTAATTGATTATCTAATTAAATTTAATTAGTTGTGAACTGTAAGTGGCAATATTTATATATATATATTCATGAGAAGAGAATTTGTTCACAACTATAACCCTTATAAAGAATCAGGTTCAAATCGACGATGATAATGTCTCATTTTCACTGGTTTTGTCTAAATATTAGTTTTCAGATGACAAAGAAATTTTATTAATCAATGATATTCACGTTGCCTATATGATTGAAGCAAGTTGTTATGTTAGTTTATAGATGCTTTATCTTTATAGAGAGAGCACGACTTGAAACATAAGTATGGATATATGTTACATTTTAATGAATTTTGTTTAAGAAGTTTTAAACATTTTTTTTTATTAATATCATTACTTTTCTAACGAAGGTGAATAAATACATTGATCGTCAGCTCGTGATTCATGGAAAAGATCATATACCATTGGAATTGATTGATTAAAGTTACTCGGTAAACAAACACTACGTTGTGGAACAATTTCTAAGACTGACCAACACCTTCAGACAAAGTACAATTCAAAAAATATATTTTTTACATGTTACCACACATAAATTTTACTCAATAATCATTGTAAACACGACGTGCTCGAAATTTTATGTAGCGCAATGATAGGATTAGAGTTTATTTTTCTCTCCTCAGAATGCGAGATGTATCTTTTAACAATTTATGACACATTGCAAATAGCCTGCAGATTATCCTAGTATAAAAGTTTTTATCATCACTGAAGGATGTTCCAAGCGGGGAGGAGGTGCGACTGTCCATGCCTCGAAAAGTTTTCGTTTTGTCCTAGTGGAGTTTCATTGTTTTCTTTTTGTTCACTGATTTCCAAGAAAATGCTCGACTTCCTCCCAATACCAATACCTTCCTGTAGGCACTCTGAGTCATCGATCATCTCCAATTCTAGCAGTCTCGGATATAGGAATCGACCAGATCTCGATTCAAAGTTCAGATCAATTGGATGAAATAGCTCTTCCAACAAATCCGTTTCTAGAATTGACGAAGGAACTTCTCCAGGTGTCAAATCGTTTTTCGACTGGCATTATGTTCATTTGTTAAGTACTAGAGATTAATAGAAAAATCTAGAATGGCTTAAGTTTCCAAGGCTTCGCTCTAAAGACATCGAAATATTACTGGGTTTTTCAATGAAAAGCGGTGATCTACCCCAAAGTCATGTGACAAATCGACTGTTCACTTTTGACTTCACATTTTGCACGAGTTAAGTTTTTAATAACACTAATTGATTGTATAACTATTATCTCCTTTGTGAAATTGAAAATATATGAACAAAATTTGCTTTTATATACGAGAGAATTTCGAATATTCAATATCTGAGCATAGAAACTACTAGAAAAGCTAAAACTTGCACAATCAACTAATCTCGTTAAGAATTTTGTTGACGCAACGTCAATTTTCAAGTCGAAATTTAAAAGTCGACTTTCCGCATAACCTCATGGAAATCATAGCTTTTTATTGAAAAATTCGGAAAGCTGAACCATTCTAGACATTTTTATTAATCACTAGTACTCATCAAATGAACATCGTGTCAGCCAAAAAACGATTTGACATCTGGAGAGGTTCCCTTGTGAGCTGTCCCAAAAATGTTGTTTTGTTTTGGGAACAGTAAATCAGTAACAGAACTAAAGCTTGTTAAATCTGCAAGTGTTCTTCTCAAAAATATAAAAAGAATTGTTTGAACGGCTCAGTTCTTATACAAAGAACTGCTTAAATAGGTCCAAGAATGTTTTCACAAGATTGTAAGACTCAAACAAGAACTGAACTTATCCACTTCAACTTGGAATACTCTTATTCTCGCATTTTCTATTTTATAATAATAAATTTAATGATCGCATACCAAAGAATATTTAGAATGGCACATGTTGTTAAACCAAGAAATACAGCTACATTAAAACCAATAATCTTAATTATGACAATTAATAAGTTTTATAAACATTAAAAAGACTTTACTTCCTCCCTTGTTTGCTTAAGTTTAGCAAACATCATTGGCATTATATTTATGAAACCTTCTAAAATTTAAATCGAACTTCTCAAGAAAAAGTCAACATAACGTCTTACGTAAAGCTATTGTACACATTAAAATCGAATCTCCAATACTATTATAATCATCTGTCACTGGATTTTGAATTTTCGAACCAACTACAAGCGTTATAATAACCTTGAAAATAAATATTAGAAAGAGAAAACTTATATCAATCATATAAATCTTGTTTTAAATTGCTTACTATTATAGTAAAAAGTGTACCTTTAAAAAAAGTTAACACAGAAATAATCGGTTGAATAAATGAATGAAATAAGAGAATAACAAATGCTAATATCCAGCAAAAGCCTGGAATCACTTTAATGTACCTAAAACAAAGTTATTTTTAAAAAATAGACCAAGAAAATAGAATTTCTCCTACTGTACGTGAAACAACATTGCGAATGCTTGACTACCAGCCAATGCATAGCTTATCAATATGGCTATTCTAATAAATCCATAAATAGAATACAAATATTTACAGAGATTTAATACATACGTTTGTGAAATTATGATTAATGTAAAGCAATATGGAAAAAAATATGGTAACAAAAGTTCTCCAAGCGAATGTAAATTTGGTAAACATTTTTTTACCGTTTCTACATCATATACTACAAAGAAGGAAAATAAATTCGTACCTCATTATACAAAAAAAAGTGTACATCGAATATCAACATATAATCAAGTACTAGACAAGAAGAAATCAAAAAATTTATATGTGCTGATATTTCAGGTAATCATGCAAATCCAGTTAAGGTTGAGAATTTTTTTTATTAAAAATCAGAACAAATGAATTTTAAAATATGACAAACTTTATCATACAGATTGCGTCTAGTAATATAGTTCTAGATACAAGTGCTTTTCATTATTCTTTGTTACGAGAAGTTTATTGTTATTGAGAACCATACAATGAATATTTTACTTTAGTATTATGTATTATTACCATCTACTTTAACAAAATATTGTAAACAATAAGTCTAGGTATTCACGATTTGATTCTCATGTGGTACCACAATCACAAACTTTGAGAGCGATAACGAGGAAACCACCTGAGGTGTTACCTAACGTTTGAGATGAGACTCTAGTCATCACATAGAGTCTATTTAGACTAGAAAAAACTTAGAAGGATTCTTCTCCATGTGCTACTCTTTTGAAGGTATGATCATTACACTGAATTTTTTTACCTTTGACATAGTATTTATTAAAAAAACTTCACAAACAAATTTTGATCTAAATTATTACCTATAGGCAGCTCTTAAAGTTAATAGAATCTTCTAAAACTTTTAGTCAAAAAGAGGATCTCTTCTCGAACTACCAAATCCACACAAAAAAAACTAGATTTTCCACCCTTTTGATGGAATATCATGTTTTTTTTGTGAATTGAACATCTTAATAAAAGAATACTCTTTTTCAATGCAATTGCTAAGAGATTCTCATCACTTCAGGAACTGTCTATGGGCAAAGACTTAGGTCAAAATTCCTTTGTCCTGCTTCTTAAATAGATGTCATGTTAAAGGTAAAAAATCCAGTTTCACGGCGATCAGTCTTGAATGGTAGTGCATAAAGAAGAATCCCTCTAACTTTCTTCTAGTCTCAATAGGTCATACGTAATAACTGGAGTCTCATCTCAAACGCGAGGTATTACCTCGAGTTGTTCCAGCGTAAGTCAGTTTTCAGAGGGCACTGCCCCTTCGACCTTCACTCTAGATAAAACAGTGAAAGCATTGTTAAGTGTATATGTATGGTTGCAGTTTCAAAAAAGTACAGAAGTTAAATACGTCTTTTCAAAAGAAAGATGTACATGTCGATATATATTAATAATCACAAAATAATAATACTAGCTTAGAATATTTCTCAAGTTCTTCGAAATATAGATGCTATTAAATCTTATATCATAACAGTAAGAAGGAAATAGCAGCATCATAAATCTGAAACACTTGACAATTATTTTTTTCTTCTCTGGAAATTTTTACTCTATATACAAAGCCAATCATACTTATGCTCATTTGAAGTGATGTTAGAAAAAATGATGTAACTTTCGACGTCTACTGGTGTTCGAAAGCATACAGCTAGAGATAAATTTTTAAGCATGATCCTGAAGACTAGTAAGCGAGTAAAAAATAACAGATGATAATTAGAATTTTGTATGGTTTATATATATTAATGCTTGAATACGTCAATCATACCAAAATCTCAGCCATTGTTATTATCATTAGTTGTTTGTGTCCTCGTCAACTTCATTGTAGCTCGTAAATACATGACGTGTTTCGCAATGTTATCACCGAAATGATGACGACATACTTTTATTGACTTTATGTAATGTAGGTAGATAAATTGATAGATAGGTAATTATATATCTTTCTATTAATTTATCTTTCTTCTCATTTATCTAAGTATAGAGTCATATGCATAATATGAGCAAAAATTTTAATAATAATTTTAGTGAGATTTGTTAAGAATTCATAGCACAAACTAAAAATGTATATCTTTATCGATACTATGAATAATCGTATAATATATAATATAGAATCAGATTGTAATCATCCACACTTCTATAATTTAGTACATGCTGTCTATTCGAACTTAATGTGAAATATGACTCTAAGAAAAATCTAGAGAAAAGAACAAACACACTTATTCAAAGTTCTAAATATCAGCTAATAGACATCAAAGATTTAAATTTTAATATTTGCAAATATTTGCAAGAGAATACCAAGCAACATGAAAATAGTGCATTAACAAGACGAAGAAACATACACATACAATGAAAAAAAATTACCCGTAAACAAACAACGACAACAGATTCACCATAATCTCAATATATATATATATATATAAAACAAGTAATTTTATCTGTGTTCAACTGTTTGTATTACAATAGTACTCTCTCTATATGAGCTTAAACGTCGACCAATACGTTGTTGACGATTATCATTTTCATTTAAAACAATTTTTTTCGAAAAACAATTTCTCTTAATAACTTTCGTTTCATGATAAAATAAAAATGTTATACAATCAAGCCATGGTAATGTTGTAAAATAAATTAAAAATATTCTTTGATATATATTTAATGATATATTAAAAACTTTCATAGTTAATACCGGTAGAGTAGCAATTATATTACTTATGACAAATAAACACACAGCACGAAGACGTTTTAAACTATGATTAACCATTAATGAACGTTCAGATTGTTTAAAATTTGTAAAAACTAATGAATAAAAAAAGACAGTTGCTAAAGATTTTCGTTTAAGTTTATATATATCTCTATATGATATATAAATCCATGAAAATGTTAATAAATCAATTAAAATAAACAAAACATAAACAATCATTGTCGGCATGAAAGATTTTTCAACATGAAAATTTCTAAAAAAAAAAGTTTTTTCTGTTGTTATTCGACATATTTCAATCATAAGAGAATTTTCATCAGTCACTGCTGAATGTATTGAAAGAAAAAGACTTGATACAAAATAATTAAAAATTATACCAAATATTAAACAACATTTTGAATAAAGTGTGCTTTTATGATTTACTGTTGAATCCCAAAAATGTGCTGTTTCACCAATAATAATTAATAATAAATCAAATGTTGAAAGTAATAATAGAAAATATTTGAAAATTTCAATTGATAGACATTGATTAAAAATAATTATAGATAAACAAGAAAAAAATATTACTATACATCGAATTATGCATATAATTAAATGATGAAATATATAGAAATTACAGATAGGATATTGATTCGATAATTTCGTACAATAACAATTTATTATTACATTCCACATTCCAACTAACAGTTGAATAATGAAAACAATAGTCAAAATAAAACTAAAACCCATCAATATGAACAAATGCAAAATAGAAACGAGATGTATTGTTGTCATAGTTCGTATGTTATTTTCAATGATTATTCGCTAACTATATTTATATGTTTGTGCGAGTAGTATGTGTAGAATGGTAGCAAACAAATAAAATGAACTAATGGTTAAGCAAATATACGATTGACATCCTTCCTTATGTCTTATTTTTCATATAATGATTGACGCGAGGTTTTTTTTTTTTATTCGACATATTCTTATGTTAATATCCTCTAAGATTTTATTATTCTTTTCTGTTGAAACAGCTTATCAAATAAAATACAATTGATGGAAACAAGCCTTTTTCAAAACGTCATAAAATTTGTAACAAATATATTAATTCGAAAATAGATTTAATGAAAAAACAGAAACAAATTTCATTAATTCTTACCGCGTTTAGCTACCAAATCATAATGTGATCCATATGTAGGTGTTTCACGTGTATCTATATGAACAAGCACCTTCTCTTGTTCGTCCTATATAAAATATATAAAAAAACAATAATAATAATAAATTGTATTTATTGAAATAGCATGCTATTCAATATGCTAACCTCTTTTAATTTTTCAATATTTCGATAATAAGCTTTTTGCAAGATTTCCGTAAAGAAAAATATTAAAAATACCTTTGAGCAAAAAGAAAACAAGATATTATTGACTTATATATAAGAAAAAGCAAAAGTTGATTTACATTAACAAAATAACTAATGCAAATAGAAATGAGAAATGGTCCGAAACCACTGTGAGATAATGTTGTTGGTAGACCAAGAATACCTATACCAAGAATTGTAGCAATTGTAACAAAATCTATTCATGAAAAAAAAATTAGTTTAAAAAATTCAATTTCTATGATAGGTACAAAATTGTGCATAATGGAAAACGATTCTGTAAACAATTTTGCCCACACTCATTTCTTCTATTCCAATATTATACTAAATAGAAAATAAAATAATGCTATCATTCATTTCAAAGTGAAAGTGAGTTATATCACCTTGATTTTTTTAAATTAAAAATTATATTAATCATTGAAAAAAGACATTGCTCTTGTTGATGATAACCAGAAGTGAGAACAAAAAAAATCACGAGCACTCACAGGTAAAGGTGTTTAGAATAAACTTGAGAGAACGTTAGATAGTCTAAAGGAGCAAAAACTAAACATTTTCATATAAATATTAAGCTAGTGTTACTATTGACAGAGCAAGTTGGCAAGTAGTCGTATTAAGCGTTGTAGTAAATACAGTATTAACATGCATGAATTGAATCATCGAAAAAAATAGCTTCAAGGTAAATTTAATTTGTTCTATCGTCTTTTTTTGTCACTTGAATAATTTCTTTTTTTTCGATTATTTTATTGACCAATCATAAAAGAGAATCAATATTTTTCTGGATTGGTTGAGGATAGTAATCAATTGCGATTTATTTATAACTATGTTGTTTATTTTTATTAACGATATGTTTCAAACTCATTATATCGTGTTCACATATTAATTGAATTATTCATTTACAATCAATTCTAGTTTATAGATATTTTTTATTATTGTACTATTGCTGTTATTTTATTTGACAACACTTTTTTTTTTACTATAGGAAGCAAACAAATGCAATTATTTGTCATGTTTTAGTTAAACAAACTCAATAAAATGCATAAAGCATTATAATCTAAATTGAAAATTTATTTAGAATGAATATTTCTTATCAAATTAATTATGAATAAATGGAATATATTATGTACGAAAATTACAAACTCATATTTAATTGAAAATTATTTATTGAAGAATTTTTTTTCTTTTTGTAGTTATTATGTCTTATACTGATAAATTCTCTAATTCGATTTAAAATATCAATCAATATAAAATGATTATTGATCATTCCCAAATTTTAGTTCAGTATCAATCTGTCACTGAATCAAATGAAGATAAACTCATTTTTATTTCTTATTCATTTGACCTTGCCATTATTGAAATGGCGAATATTAATTTTAATATTATTATTGGTATAAAAATATTCAATATTTATCTTCTTATTTAGACGAATATATTCTTATAAAATTTTCTGCATTTAAACGAAATGACAATAATTATTTAAATGAACTTTTTTTACGTCGCCAATCTTGAAGCATTACCGTTGCTGCATTGAAGCCTGGCATACCGGTAACTCCTCCTATATTTCAAAGAAGTAAAAAAAAAATTCAGTTACATCAAATAATTTTACCTCCTGGATGAGTTGAACTTCCGCATAGATAAAGACCATGAATAGGTGTTCGATGATTTGAACATGATACTGCTGGTCGAAATGAGTAAAGTTGATCAAGTGAAAGTGCACCATGAAAAATATTTCCACCTTTTTTATTTTTGAAAATTATAAAAAGAAAATTTTAAATAAGAATTTTTACCTGTCAATGAAAATTGTTCTTCTAAATCCGATGGAAAAAGCATATCACGCCCAATAATAAGTTTTTCAAAGCCTGGTGCATATTCTTCAATTGAATTAATTACATTTCGATAATAATTTTCTTTATATTTCTTTGTTATTTCAATTTGTTTACCATTCGGTAAACGGTAAGGTGTATATTGAGTAAATAGCAAAGCTACATGACAATTTTTCGGAGCCAGTGTTGGATCAAGTGAAGAAGGAATCACCTAAAAAGACAAAACCAATTCAGAAAAATTAAAAGGATGGAAGTGCATCAGAATCAGTTTTGATCCATTTAGTTTTTTTCCTCACAAAGGAACATAAAAATGATCAGGTTTTTGTAACGTTTCAGCTAGCAAATCTAACCGTGTATTAATGTTTCCCTTAGCGTTTACTTATGAATACTTAAGCTCCTTACAAGTTTGGTCATCACCATAACATTTCTTATTCTTGTGAGCTAAGAGGACAGATGCTCCTTCTGAGATGGAATTAGCTGCAATTTGATATCAAAAGATTATATGTATAATCTCTTATTGATCCGAGAGTGAATAGAAAAGAATGCTTAGCCAGCTCAAATCAATACATTTTCAGCCACTGATCGATTTTGAAAGCCGAATATCATACAGAATAAAGATAAACATACCACCAAAATTTCAGTGCTAGTAGAATATATCAAGAGCCACAAAAACATGTTTAAATTATTAGAGAAAAAGTATAGTCACATGTTCCAGATTGAGACGTTTTTGTTTGTTTAAACAAAAGCGGTAATTTTTTTGACTCATATTTGGTGATTTTTGTCAGACTCATCATTTTTCTACTTCAAACAAATAATATATCCGGAATCAGCACCAAAAACCGAGTCAACTTGTACATGTTTCAAAGTGTTTGGACAAAGTTTATTTTCATAAAAAAATTCAGTTCTGGTCCACTTCAGAGTTTAATTACAAAATGATGTCAATCATAACATCATTTTTAATGCATAGTCATCTGCCTTTTTGTGCCCTATTATCATTTTAGAAAGTCAGAAATTGTTTTCAATTGTCCAAATTAGACTTCGATTGATTTCATTTTGGGCAGAATCCTGAGGAGAACCATGGATGAACTTTTTGACGAAAATAAAAGTTGTCTGAACATTTTTAAACATGTATGGGTAGACTCTCCGCAAATAGGAGTCTAAAAATGGTCATTCTCACCTAGTCAAAAGGAAAGATCGCGTCTCCGAACATTGTCCATACATTCTCACTAACAATTTATAAATTCGCTTGTAGCTCGTTATGTATTTTATTAGCGCTGAAATTTTCATGATATGTTAATTTTTATTCTATATGATGTTAGACTCTCAAGTTTGATTACAGTGGCTGAAAATGCATCGATTTGGCTTGTTCAAACATTCTTCTTCATCCACTCTTGACTCAAAAAAAAAAAAGGATCATTTACATAACATTTTGGTTCCAAAATGCAACTCAAGTCATATTCTATTGATTACACTATGAGTGAGCTGATTGGCTAGTGACTCAATTTCAGAAGAAGCATCCGTCCTCTTAGCTCGTAAGACTAAGAAATGTTGTGATGATGATCAAACTTGTAAGAGACATAAATATCCATAAATTAAGACTTAAAGGGAATATTTATACATGATTAGATTAGTCAGCTCAAGTGTGATAAAAATCTGGTCGTTTTTATGTTCCTTCCTGAGAAAAAATAAAGCGGATCAAAACTGTTTCTAATGCATTTATGTCATTGAGTTTTAAATAAAAACCATTTCAATTAATGGATTTTGACTTGGCTTTCCATTTAATGCTTCTTGATAAGCATTTTGTAAATCAGACATTGATTCACTATTCAAATGTATCGTACATTGATGGTGAGGTTGAAGTTCATTAATATTTTTATTTGGATTAGCAAGAAAATTTCTAAAGAAAAACAAAAATATTTAATTAAACTAATTAGTGTATATTTTTCTTTTTCTTTATTTACGGTAATCCTGATAGAGCAAGATTTATTTTTGTTGTTCCACTTGTATAATCCATTTGTAAAATATGTTTTTTTAATTCATCCAGTTCTTTATTTGTTTTAATAATATCATTTAAAATTAAATCTTTAAATGTAACATATGCTGTTGCATTTGAAGCAACTATTTTTCCTTTGATTTCTTCACCATTATCAAGTACAATACCTTCGACTTTGGAATTACATATATCTATATGATTGACATTACAATTTATACGTATTTCGACTCCAGATGAACGAGCTGATGATGCTATAGCATTACTTAAACCGCCCATTCCACCTTGAACATAACACCAAGCATCTGAAAATGAATTTTTATTTTTTAATCTCAAAGTAATGAAATCTTTTATATATACTATCTTCAGACAAATAGTTAGAATTGATATTCTTAACATGTCATTGCTATAAATTAATATTCTTACAAAATCAATTATATATTCCGAGAGAGTGTGGAATTCTCTACAGTCCTATGTATATCGGTTTTGAATTGCGTTTTTTGTTTCTTTTCATCAGTTGATTTTCAGTTATTTGATAACAAATATTTCGAATACTGTTAATGCACCCTCATTCTGACATCATAACACTTAAGTAGTTCATATAATTTATACAGCAGCCCATGAATGGTTATCTACTAATCAAATAAGATGCATGGTTAATTATTTACCACTGGCAAAAGTACAAGATAATAGAGAATTTCGCGCGCTTTTAGAGTATACACTTATTTTTTTGTAATAACTTGTTCTTATATTTTAATAAAAAAAAAATACCTTTCCGGAGAAGCTAATGATGAGACTGCTTTCGCTATGCTGAGGTTTATATTTTAGTGAATTAGTGCAATTTAAAACGTACATACAAATAAGATTGTAGAGAAATCTGCGTCCTATCAGAATATATAATTACTTTTATAAGAATATTAATTTACAGCGATAATATCTTCAGAATATTAAGTCTAATTGTTTTTTTCCTGAGGGATATAAAAAACAAAAGATGGTCTGTGTACTTTCATAATTTCCCGTGAGAAAAATTGTTAATCTTAGATTGTTATTTTTTTATTTATTTATGCATAGCTAATAGAAATTGTTTAGATTTTTCGATAATTAAAAAGAATTTTATTGTGTATAGAAGTATTATTGTTTTGATAAATCGATTAAAAGAGAATCTTTTCAAAGTAATGATAGAAAGAATAGTTATCCCATTTCTAATAATCATAGACGTAGAACAATTTAGATGAGATATCTAACTTAGTTTGAATAAAACCATTATTAACTCGTTTGACCTAAATAAGTTGCTTCTAATGCTTCATCTGTTTGATCTTATTATTGTCTTATTACTTTCAGTACGGAACAAAATGCCATTTAATACGTAATCTGATCGAGCTGACATCTCAAGGAAAGATTTACATATCTAGATATGTGTAGCGATGTTGTAAATACTGAATAGTGATTCATTAGCACAGAGTCCATTGAGGCACTGATTACATCGACATTCGTATTCATTATAACCTTGAGACACTAATTCTATTAAAATATGTTCTCTTTTTTGTAGCTTTCTGTGTCCAGTATCAATGTGCACTAAGTCAGCGGTCAGTAAACTGAAAAAGATAGTCTTAAGCATATCAATAGTCAGAATTGGTAAAATGTTGAGATTTGCTGTTTGTTTTCTAACCGAAATTGATACTTTTGTTTTCTATGACATAGATTAGTTGATTTAAATTGTATTAAATCGAACAGCATAGAAAATACATTTGATTTCAAGAGTTTTAGTGATTTAAATAGTGCGGAAACAATATTATTAAAAACACATATCTTTATAATAAAGCTGTTAATACAACCCCTGCGGGATTAAAATATGAAACACAATATAGCTACTATTGCTAATCACCAGAAGATTGTTTTATTTTATCTATCTATCATGAGACACATTGCTTCACCATCCTTTTACTTAATCTTCGACAGATGCAATAAGAAAGTAGTTCATATAGTATAACGAGATGTTATTGATATAAGATTGGTGACGGGGAGGAAAGGAAAGTCCGAATTTTTATTTCTATACCCAACAATTGATTTGCCAATGCAATGATTTTCGAAGCATGTATTTTCTTTCTTTTCTTTTTGTAGTTTTCCTGATTTGTACGCTTTCAAGTACATATAGAAAGAAGCGAAAAAAAAAAAATTATTTTATTGACTTACTAGCTCGTCCATCTAAACCACCCATTACATGATGAAGTAAAATATAACCAGTCCCACTATCATATGGACCGAGCATAGCACCGATAAGACCGTCAGTAGCTAATGTAGCTTTAACAACATCTGATTCAAACCATTTATCTAATATTCGACTTGCTGTTGAAGTTAATAATTGATATAAATCCATAGAACCATTGAGACCAAGTTTTCTGAATAAATTATAGAAAATTTTCATTGAATAATTATAAGCACGAAAACGATCTAAAATTTTATAGTTTTGATTCATTTGACTAAGATCAGGTGGTGGTGAATGAATAAGTTCATCAATAGCTCGACATATTTTTGTTAACCATTCTTCATATATATGAAAATTTTCTGCATCTTTTTTTGAAAATTGAGCTATTTGTTTCATATTAAATTGATTATCTGATGATGATAATAATAATGAACGTTGATTATTATTAATTAGATTTTTTATTGGTGTATATGAAGACGGATCACGAAAATAATATTTTAAACCATGTTCACGTAAATTTAAATCATCAATTATTTTTTGACGAAATAAACTTAATAGATAAGATGCCCGAGAAAATTTAAAACCTTTTATTATTTCTTCTGTGCATGCAGCACCACCAATAACAGATCGTTTTTCACAAACCAATACGCGTAGACCTTGTCGAGCTAAATAAGCAGAAGTAACAAGACCATTATGTCCAGCACCAATTATTATCACATCATACGCTTTCTTCATTGTTGTGTAATGTGTTTGCGTAAATTTGTTAACTTTTGTTCTACAGTTTCGTTATCAAAGTCCTTGTTTTAGATAAAATATCAGAAAGAAAAACTCTATTCATCATGGTCATGAAGAATGCTTCTTAGACTGTTTAAACCATCAAAGGATGAGAAAAGTCAAACGAATCATCCACAAGCAGTTTGGAGGTGTGGGCAACTTTTTTGTCATGCTCATTTTAGTGGCCATTATTGTTATTTTTATTAATACATATGTTCTTACAAAACGAGACCGTAAGTCTTTTTTAGATTTATAATTTTATTTTAAATTTTTTCATTGTTAGCATCCGATGAATCACCCGATGGAATTCCTTCTAAAATTGAATTAGTTCCTAATCAAAATCAAACAATAATATCTAATCAACAAAAACCAATTGACCGACAACGAATTCTAAGACCCGCTATACCAGATGCCGGTAAATAAATCTATTGATTAAAACAAATTATTTATAATTATTTATCTTTTTCTGTCTAGGATGTGAAATTGATGAAAAATGCTCAGATGATGCTATTCCATATAAAATTATTTCAGGAGATGGAGTTGAAAAATATCCAATAATATGTTTTAATAATAAATTGTAAATATATAAATATTGTTATTGTACATCACTTCCTTTTTTTGTCTTTTAATATAGATTAGTACATAAAAATTTAAAAGATTCAAAAATTGGTCGGGGTATTAATTTAGTTGCGTTTGATGGTACAACATTGGATGTTAAAATAACAGACACATTTGATACTTATCTTGAAGGTAAAAATTTAACAAAAAAAAAAGTTTTTTCTATTAAATAAAAATGAATTACGTGTTATTTTATTAGAAACATTCTTTTTACGAACTCTTAAAGTTAATTTAAATGATGGCGATATTGTTATTCTAGCTAGTTTTGATGAAATGACATATGGGTTAGTTAATCAAATTTTGAAAAAAAAATATTCAAATAATTTTCAATTTATGTTAGATTAAAAGAAGCATCTTTATCTATATTAGAAAGATATGGTAGTCAACTGATAAAAATTATTAAATTTCGTGATTCATTTGTTATGCTTGGACAAAAAGGACTGGCACGTGGAAAAGCTATTGAAATGGTAAGATTTATTTTTATTAGCAGCGGAGAAAACTCATAGAATGATCTCAGACAGTTGGATTCATTCAAGACAATGAAATTGTCTTTTGATAAATCTTCAATTTTGTGAATATATCATGTGACTTGTTTTTTTTCTATGAGAATAACTCCTGGCTTTCAGTTACCTTGCTCGATAAATTCCTTCTGATTAGCAGTGGATTCATTAGTCCAGTATCTTCCTTACAACTAGTACTAGCTATAGCTTTGAACAGAAGGTCGGCTTGACACCAAGTTTTTGCGCTTAAATATCTTGAGCTTCGAACACACACTGACTACTACAAGAGTAGGTGGATGTCAACATGTAGGCAGTGTGTGATGGGACGAGTAATCGGAGACAAACAACCGCCAGTGATTTGTCCAGGATCATTCCATGGACAGCGATCCCATGTTTTGAACACAGTATCTATTGTGAATACGTGTCAAGCAGTGTAACTACTCAACCATGCCGGTGTTACCATCTGCTAGACACGTCCAGTAAATATTCTGATTTTTCTATACCATCAAGTATCGATCATTACAGAAATCTTTTAATTTGAATGTGTGACTTTTCAGAAAATAAATTATAGGTATTTCTAAACTAATTTTTTGAATAGTCACAGTAAGTAAAACAAACATGCGCTCGCTGACCCTAATCAGATCAAATGGTATCAAAATCTTCTCTTGTGAATCTTCTATCATCACATTTAGCATAAACGCTCGCGAATCATACAACAAGTTTTTTCCAAAATTCTTTCTTTTTCTGCTAAACTTTTTTCCAAACTTCAAGGCATTTCTATTGAAATCCAATGATGCCTTCGGAATCTGCGTTCGGAACTACATCAAATGATGCATTTACACCAGAACTTTTCTAATTGAAAATTTTTCTCATAAAAAAATGTGGTCAAAAGTTTCTCTCGTGTATTTTTCGCCAAAAAATTCTTGATTTTCTTAAAATTGATTTTCTGAACGGAAGTTACATGTTCATCTATCATGCGAAATATGTACACTGTGACACTTCGCCGTGAGAAAAGATTTTAGCGTACATTTAGATTCGTTGAATTTAACAAGTGAGCCGTATGGAGTAGCCGCTTATTCTAAGTTATCTTTTGATTTTGATCACCTAATAAGTTTTATCAAAAAAAACAAAATATACCACAAGAGGCATTAAATGAAAAGCTGATTTTATTTATGCATCTTTTGTTTTATAAGAAAGATAAAATTCTGTTCGATCTATTTTTAACGTTGTGGACAAGATCCTTTTATAGTAAATGATCAATTCACTCTTTTATCTCATCGATTGAGAAAAATTCTATTCGCTGATGAAAAACACTTACAATTAGAACATCTGTATACTACTAGTCGACGGTAGACGTGAATTAAATGACTAAATACGCAAAAAGAATTATCGCATGGTTAGGTGCTTCTAAAAATGATCTCACATCTTCAATTATGGTGAAATAGGATCACATGAAAATTATATTGAAGTTGTTCTTTGACGTGACCAGTCTGAAGATAAACAGCTGCTAGTCAATAATTTTATCTATGAATAAAACAACACAATCCTTCAAACACATTAGCAAACAATGATTTGATGCACACAGTAGATTGCGCATTTCGTAGATAAACATAAATGACCAACAAATGATTCTAATTTCAATGCTTTGGATTATTATGTATGAAATATCACAGCGAATAATACGCAATCAGATAAACTTAAAGCCACGATTCTTTAATCGTTGAAATTATAAAAGAAATTCACTACATATATCAAAACATAATCATATTTGCAAAATGCAAAGTTACTCGAACAGAATCTTATCTTTTTTTATACAAAAAAAGATGCATTTATACAATAAGTTCTTCTTTGTAAATTGTAGAGCTTTTTTTCAGTACATCTTGTAGTATATTGTATTTTGTGAAACGCGGTCTAAAAGGACTGTTGAACTATATAGGGTAGAAATTTGCATCGTACAGATTGTGGCAGACGTTATTGATATACGATAGAATATCATATATGAATAACGTTTTATTCTAATATATAAACTACTTCCTTGTTGCAGTTTTCGAAGATTAAGTGAAAGGATGATGAAGAAACGTATCCAAAATCGATAGATTAAAACAATCTTTCTGTGATTAATACTAGCAGCTATATCGTGATTCATATTTTAATCCTGTTAGGATTGTACTAACAGTTGTTTTAATACAATGTATCGAACAATGAAGAGATGACTTGTAAAAAATGGTCATTCGTTATGACCGATACACTACAATTTAGATTTTATTGTTTAATAAATAGTTCATATATAATTTTCGATAGAACTTGATTATTTACTTCGTTCTTATCATGATTGTTTATTCGATTCTTGTAAACTGTTAAAAACTCTAGGTTTGTTTTCTTTTTAGCATCAACCAAAAGGAAATCGTGATTTTGCTCCTGCTGCACATATAAGTGGTTGTGCTAAATTTCCTTGTATGTTCGTTACTATTTTTCTTTCATTAATCTTCACAAGCTTTTTTTTAATGTTTAATTATCTAGTGGGTCAACTAACACCATTATTATTTCTAAGTCCAGAAGTAAATAAAGAAGGAAAAATAGCTATTGGTACATCAATAAAAAATTGTGGTTTATTAGAAGCATGTAAAGAAAATGAATTCGCTGTACATCTTTATACAGGCAAAGATAAAAATGATGAACCAAAAATATGTGTTGATGGAAAATATGTTATGGCAAAAGGTATTAATGATGCTGGACGTGGTATAAATATTGTTGTTGTATCGAATGGAAAAGAAGTTATTCGTACAGGACATTTTGATACCTGGCAAGAAGGTAAAATAAATGAATTATGTTTGTTTTTTTTATTTTATTTTAATTTTCTAGATAGTACAAATTTAGAAATATTTCTTGAAAATCTTGAAGAAAATGTTATTCTTATAGCAGTTACATTTGATGAAGCATCAACAAAGTAAGTTATTCTAGTAGATTTTGTATGCATGTTAAAGAATATTTAATCTGATGTGATTATAACTGATGTATGTATTATGTGTATATATATATATTTGTTTAGCTTACGAAATTTCACTCGAATTGTATTACAAGGTATTGGCAGTCAGAAAATAGGGTCACTTGCTTTTCGTGATTCCTGGGCACTTATTCATCATTTCAAAACAAACATCAATTTTAATTTCGAAGAGGTGATCATATGAGTTATATGTATTTTCGTATAAGTGTTTCAAAAGAGAATGAGTGAGCAGAATTTTCCCGTTTATATATATATATATATATAAAGATGAAAAAAGATATTGTACATATGCTTTTGATTTTATCTCTCTTTTTTTTCTATTTATGTATTTAGGATTAGTCAGCATTGTAGAAATCTTTTTTTTGATCTTGGCAGTGGAACTATACAAAATTTGAAATATCGCGACGCTTGGGCATTTGTGGGTCGAAAGGGCATCAAAGGTTTTAGCCCTTATGAAGAGGTTTGTCCTTCGAAAAGCTTCTAAATGACTGTTGTAAATATAAATAAATATAAATACATACGCTTTTGTGGTGATAAGTCATACAATATTTTTTCTCAGACATAATAATCATATTGAAATATTCTAAACGGTGGCTAGTTATGTTCAGAATATTAATATATATATATATATATAAATTTCTTTTTATTGTAATGGGGGTATCAGATTCTGCTCAATCATTCACTAATATTCTATATGCATGTTTTGTTGTAAATATATTCTGCTTCATGATTAACATGGATTTTTATGCATGAGAATTTATTTAGATTTCACATGCAGGCACTGGAAACGTTTATGCGCCTCCAATTGACAAACGAATATGTGTACCACAAACTTGTGAGTAAAAAATTTTATTAGAAAAATATCTTGTGATTAGTATACATGTTACTTTGAAGAAAAAAAAAAGAGTGGCTGTTTAATTTACTAAAAATATTCAACAATAGATTGTTAATCAGAGAACTTAAGGTTTCAAATTTAAGCTTATATGATTCGATTTCAGCAGTTGAAACGAATATGAAGTGAGTTTCATGAAGATTGTATCCAGCAAAAGAAGATAGTAGCATTATTGTCATCCATTTATGATGAGATTACTCTAACAAGCAAAGTCTCTCAGCTGATTAATTACTTTGGAATCTGAATCATATGCATCATGTAGACCCTAAAGAGTTATGAGTACTCTAAAAATAATTCGGATTCTTAACTGATCGCTGCTGATATGCTACGTCTTTAAGGTATATTTTAGGTCAGTGCAGTGATATCGCTCAGAAACATAAGGAAAACTCGTTTTTAAAGTTTGGATTGAAACTTTTCACACTGATAAATCTTAACGAGAATAGTTTATTCTTAAAATTTCAGCTCTTTCAATTTATTCTTTTCCTGAAATATCAACATCGAATCTGTTGGTTTCTATGAGCGATGTAAAAGACACCCTGTAACTCTAGCTGTATCTTAGGATTGTAACAACAACAGGATCTAAAACATTCAAAACAAACTGTTCTCGTTACAGTGTGTCTCTATGTGCAGTTTCAAGCTGAAATTCGAAAATAAGTTTTTTTAATGTTCTTGAGGAAGATTACGGCATTGACATAAAAAAACTGTAAAAATATCTCGACAGTAATAAGATAAGAATCCAAATTCTGCTCAGAATATTTATAGTTCATTAGAGTCTACATAATACACATAGTCTCGACTCAACAGTAACTAATCAGTTGAAGAATTTTCTTCGTAAAACTTATTATTTGGATTTATCTTGTAGCACATTTGCAAACAAACCGAAAAATGCTGATCTACAAGAAAACGACTTCACCATCATCCTTTGTTTTCCTTTATTTCATAATGAAATAAAAAACGAGATCCCTTGTAAAATCTCAGAAAAAATAACTTCTGAAAGTTACTCAATCTATATAGTAATAATATACGTTGATAATAAGACTTGAGCTGTTCTCTGATCTCATTGAATTAAATACTATGTTATGATGTTGACTAGATAAAGATAGTATCTATGATGGAGCTGCACACGTAGTTCTTTTTACCACTGAAGAAACAACAAGACAGTTATGGCACAAATGTTAAGTGAAATTATGCAGTAAATTTTATTCAAGTTTATTCTCTATTAGTTTAATATGTCGTAGTTCTATCAAAATAGGTTTAGTTTTTTGTTAAAATTACTTGCTGGATTAGTTAACATGAAAAATATATATTGTATTCAGATATTAGAGTGAGCTAAATGCTTATGATTTTTACATGAATATTGCAACAATTATTTTCAATAATGTCTATTTTTAGTAAAAGGAATGAAAATTCGACCTGATCCATTACCATTTCGTAATGATAAAAGACGTGATTTTTGTTCACGTTATGATGGTTATGGAGATTTTTGTAGTGGTATGTTGATAAATTTTATTTCAATTCTATTTAATTTATTAAAATCTTCTATTTTAAGATACAAATGTCGATAAAAATTTAGCAACTCTTTCATTAATAAATAAAACATTAGAAGATAATTCAATATATTCAACCCCAATACTTATTATTGCTGGTTTGTTTTATTCTATTTTATATTCTGTATCTATTTTAGTATTCTAGGAATTTCACATAATTCTCTTCGTATGTGTCTAGAAACTGTATTAATGCAACCGGGTATTCGTGTAGAAAATATTGTTGTATGTATAGAATTTAATTTTCAAAAATTTATTCGATAATTTATTTCTTTTATTAGGTGGCTGTTGATGAAAAATTTTCTGAACCTCTTGCATTAATTGATCTATTTGGATTTCGAGGAGAAAAAACATCAAGTAGTTCAACATATATGGGTAATTATAAAAGTAAGAAAGTCGAGTGAATTTGAGAATTTATTTATTTTAGAACATTATGAAAAATCATTATATAAAATTTGGGAAATGTATCCAAATAAAGTAAGAAAAAGTTCTATTTATTATTTAAAAAGTTTTTTAATATATATATATGTTATGATTAGGATAGTGTGATTGTTATTGAAGAAGACCTTATTTTATCACCAGATTTTCTTTATGTATTGGCATTGTTAAGTGAAACATTTCGAAAAGATGAAACATTGGGTGCAATACAATTATGGAATCCTAATTGTAAAAGAACTAGAAAAAAAATTCTTTTCAATAATTTTATTTTTAGCTTATGATATTATCAATGGTTCGCTTGATTTAATATATCGTGTTGATAATTTCTATGGTTTAGGATATTTATTAAAACGTGAATTTTATAATAAAAATATGAGAAATTCATTTAAACAATGTTGTGGAAAACGGTAAAGTTATTAGAGAAATTTTTGTTTTTGTTTTTCTTTGAAGAAATGTCTCTTTTTTATAGAGTTTGGGATAAATGGACATTTTCAGATTCATCATCATCATTTCTTATATCAGATATTTCACGCGTATTTCGAAAACCTATTGATGGAAATCTAGTTAATACGAAATATTTGGAAATACTTTTTAATCGAAAAAGACAAACGAGTTTGTAAGTTTTACTTTAATTACTTGAAGAGAAAACAAGACCAAGTTATATTTCTTGTAAATAAAAAGTTAAATAGACTTAAGTTATTTTTGTTTCAAGAAAAGAAATTTCGATTTGAAATTGTAGGATGATAACTCATCTTTATAATCTGATATTCAATTTATTTCAAAAATTACCTGTTTTAGAGTTCGAACAAAAGATACTGACAATTTAGTCATGGATTGGAGATCGACAAGTTCAGTTCTAGTTTAGATCTCAGGAATTGTTGAAAATGTTCTTTGATCTGAACTGATCTGTCCCAAGAATTTTGCATTCTGTTTGTGAGAAACGTAAATCTGTGTATAAAAAGCCTTTGTTCTATTTTTTGGAATCGCACTCTCGGGTATAGACAACTTTTGTTCTGTTTTGGGAGCAGCGTTTTTGAGTATAAAAACCAGGGGGTGTGGGTGTTAATATTGTATGGGTTTGGGTTTAGTTGTAGGTGTGTGTATATGGATTTCGGTTCTCTCTACACTCATAGCTACACACATATTTGAGTATCCACGGAAAAGATTGTACTGTATATTTGTAATCTCTCATAATATTTCTGGTATGATAAATTTCTGGATGTAAGGCACGCCTGGAGTCGTTTGAAATTCATGGAGTCTGAACATATCTGATTCGCAGACAATTGAACAAAGAATTTTTTCTCTGTGAGTAAGTATGAGATTTTAATCCCTCTTATACTTTATTTTTATAACTATATCTATCTTCAATAAATCCTCCTTTTGCAATAACATAACGCTATATATAGAGTGATAACAAGAGCTAGAAAACCCATAATCGAAAATCCTATTAATGATGAACAAAGAAAGGAAAATGCGTAGAACAATATGAAAGAATGAAGAACAGAGGAAAGAAAAAATCCAACATATATGACAGGAAAGGAAAAGTCCATAGCCCATGACTAACGATGAGAGAAAAATAAGAAGAACAGAACCGTATATGTATTGTCCTATAGATAAAGAGAGAATATCCTTCTGATTGCATCCGAAGAAGATGCAGGTCATAACAGTAGGTCACATCATTCTAATAATATTCTAGAAGTTTTAATAAAAACAAATGCTTCTATCTTGAATAATTTCACATTCAAAAATTACAAATTTTCAAACAATATATGAAATCTAACCAATGTTTGAATATTGAATATTTCAAAAAGGAATCGATGATTTCAACTGAAATTTATAGCATATTTGAGAGATCATGAAACCGATTGATAGATAAAGTTTTGAATAAAAAATTCTTTGTTGAATTTTTCCTGCCAATATGAAAGAAACGCAATAAAACTTTTGTAACTCTGTAGAAAAAGACTGATGAACAGAAATAATTTTGCTATTATTCTACTGTAGAAGTCTTTTTTATATGTAATATCTGTTGCCATGGCTGAGTGACAACATTATTTGATACTTATCTACAAGATGCTGTGTGTAAAATTCAGTACTAGTAGCTATAGAATAACCTTGGACAACTTACTAACGTCTATTTTTCTTGGATCACTTGTTCGATAGTGTGGTAACTACGTCGTGAAATTCATCTGCTCTTGTGATTAGTTAGTGTGTATGCGAAGCTCAAGCAATTGAGCGCAAGAATTTTGTGCCAAGCCCACCTTCTGTTCGGAACTAAAGCTAGTATTAGTTGTAGGAAAGATATCGAGCTATTGAATCTGCTGCTAGATGGCACTTTATATCGCAAGGTAACTAAGTGACAAGAGTATTCTTCTTTTTACATGTTCAAAATATGAACTCAAAAATTATGAATTACTTTGGGTAATTTCTTCCTACCATAAGTAGTTCCTCGTTAAAGCTACATTAGAATTCACAGAAACTTTCTTCCTCTGAATAAAAGATTTGAAAATCAATTGTCGAGAACTTCGATTTGTTAGATTTTACTGTCTTTCCACAATAACTATTATAGATATAAAACTTGAAAAAATTAAAAGATTTCAAATAATTTCATTTATTTTATTATAGAAATCCATTTCCACCATTGTCATATATTGATACATTACGTAAAGAAAACTATGAAGCCTTTTTAATTAAATCGATTAATTCGGCAACATTACTCAAATCTGTAGAACCATGTGATACAATTAATCTCGATATGTATCATTTAATTAAAAATCAAAATACGTATGAAAATTTTAGTTTTTCTAATTTTAAAATCTATTTAACAAAGAAAACCTAAAAGAAATAATAATTTTTTTCTTAATTTTAGTTCTGATGCATTTAAATATATATACCAACAAGAATCAATAAATGATGTATCGTCCCTTACACCAGTTTTACCTTGTTTTGGACTATTTCCACAAGAGCCACTTGGTCTGTATCGTGATGTTCTTCGTTTTAGTGCAAATAAAAATCAATTTTATCTTGTTGGATCTAAATCACCTTTATATAAAAATATTTCGACTGCTACTTAAAGAATTATTCATTCTCTTTAATGAATCTCTGTCTTTCTTTTTGTTATCCAATAATTATATGTTGAACTTCCTTTGGACACACTTATTCTAATGTTCTAGTCTATTTATCGACATTGAATAAACTAATAAATAGAGCAATATTATTATACCAACATACACTGTGTTACATTCCGTATCGTTTTCTTTTTTTTTCTTTTTTTTTATTGTAATCCTTAATATGATGACGATAAAGGTTTGAAATAGCGCGTGTGTGTCATTGCTATGGTTTAACGACCATATTTTACACTTCCTCTTGTTATTTTATTGTCGGTTTTTTTTTCGGGTTTCTTTCTATTAGTATGTGAGTGTTTGGAAATAAAAAGCAAAAACAAATGTGCAGTGTGTTAAACGCGAATTATTTTATTTAATTTTTAATCATTATGAAAGAAAGTTAGGATAATATCATTCTTCATTTTTAAATTAATCTTTAGAGGAAAAATGAAAAATTTTCAGAATTATGAACGATATCTTTTAGCCAAACTCTTGTGTAATCATTTGCTATTTAGTATCGGTGTAATCAATAACTTTCGATTTAAACTAAATATTTGAAGATTTTAGACAGTTTTTATGAACAAAGTTGATATGGTTAATCAAATATATTCTTGCTGTATTTTTTACTGACTAACAATGGAATTGATTTTGAGTTCAAACTTTACGTATAAGATAGGTCCCAATGAGAAATGAAAAGTCCAAGAAGAAAAAATGCCGTTAGACTTTCCTTCTAGAGTTATGGCGGTTTTACGCGAATTTTAGACTATGACATGATATATCCTAGAAAAATCGAATGACCTCATTGCGAACTGAACTTTGGACTCATAGATAGACCTACTTATAACAAGAATATTTCCTTCATGAAATCTTGAATTATTAAAAAAACTGAGATTCGCACAATCCTCGCGGGATATGAGTGATTTTTGGACATTCAATATTTTGCAAAGGTAACACTCTTTTAATCGGAAGTGCTTAGTGCCTTTTATTCACAAATAGATCTATCTGTAAGCCAAAGTTCAAGCCGACATACTCTTCATTATATTTGTTGATACGAACCATGCCACATCCTTAAATTCGTGCAAAATAGCTATAATAGTAGAAGGAAGGTCTAACGACATAATATGCTCCTGTATGCAAATATCAGTGTATATTTTCTCATCATAACAACACGAAATTCGAAGAAAAGCAAAAATAGAAGAAGAAAAGGGACAGAACAAAAGATACACAATGAAGAGCGTTTGGATAGAAAAAAACCTACCTACTTCATGAAAAATACAAAGGTGTATTGATCCATATAGACATGCATACACGTTGAAAAAACAACAGGTAATGTCGTGAACGATAAATACGGAGTAAAACTGATTGTGAGCACACAAAACAAAACTTGTACGCTCGAGTATCACTTATTATGTATGTATATTTGACTTCCAACATTATTAGACCAACGATACAATTAAAATTGAATATCTAGAGTAGCTATAAATAATACAAAAGGACGGGATATGAAAATAAGGCATTTTAATTAATCAGAAAGTAGAGTCAAGAAAGCTCTGATTGACGATGCTCAGCATACGCAGTGCATAGCCCAAATTGAAGCAGATTTTGCACGTAAAATAGTCTTATCGCAAACCATGACAAACAGAATAACTTTGAAAATGCTTACATTTCACTGAGAATGATAATGGTATAGGACATGAGTTTCACTTTTAGCTAGCTGATACAGCAGAAGATTCAAGAACTTCGAATAGAATTTTTTTAATGATTTAGAAGAACTAAAAAAATCTATTTGAAGCGTGACGAACTCAATCAAAATCTAAGATTGATAAAATCAAACGAAAGATCTTTACTCACAGAATAGGGAAAGTTTCATGATTTTTCAAATGCAAGACATAGTGGAACTTTTCCAAAAAAGGCAGTCTATTCATTTCCTTGTATAAGCAACGATCAAAGAATGAAACAATTCGATAAATTTAATTGATTGACATAATAATCTCCCGGAAAAAATCTCTTTGATATTAGCTCGAGTAAAAAAAGCCTCATGAAAAAGAACATTCAGGCATAGAAATAGAAGAGATTTTACTTTATTTAAGGATTCACTACCGTATTGTAAATCAATCGGAGTAGTGATATAAGCGCCATCAAATGGCTTCAACTTCTTTCTAGGAAAAGCTTCCAGAGATGATCTGCTGTTCTAATATCTTTATGTGAATGATTATTCGAGAGAGAAGATTTTGATGTTTCACTCTTGCATCTAAGCTGTGTATTGTTAGCAAGTCGATATGAGAGATGCGACAATCTTCAATGATTGTCTTCTAACGAATGTGGCAGAAAAAATGGCAACCTCAGCATTTTCTTCACTATAACTCCTTCGGTTCACTCTCTGTTAAGTGAGGCTTGTTTCCAAAATATCTGACATACAACGGTACGGTACACGTGAGTCAAAATGTTTCTGAAGAAAATTGTGGACAAAAATTGAACTAGAACATTAAAAATGTTGAAAAGAGCCAACTTCCTAATTTATTTCGAAGGCAAATCTCAGAATACCTTTTACAATAGTACCTTGCATGTGCGACACCAACTCATTATCTAATGCAACGAACTCAAGTCATTGTGGAGATGAAATACAAAGAAAAGTCGGAAAGAATAACAACATAATGAATAACGTTGCAAAGTTTTTACTATCTTGCAATGTCTGACCTAGCGTGGGGGCCGGAGGGCACTCTGCCGGAAAGCGTGTTGCCCCATCCTCCCCCCCCCCCCCCCTCCCCCCGTTAAAAACCGAGATACCATTCAGAGAGAGCCAGATCACTATAGTTTTTCCACAACTTTTTGTTTGATAGAAATTTGGAGGAAATAGTAGTGAACACAATATGTTCAAAAATGAACAAAATCATATGGTGTGCTGGAAAAAGGTCAAAAAAAGAATATTAAAATGAAAAAAAAGTCGAAAAAAAAGGAATATCTCTCGTAAATCGTGACTTTCAGCATCCATAGTTCAGTGTTATTTTTCATATAACTCTACTAGTTTAGATTTGTAATCAGTAGTAATGATGACAAGCAATACTTGATATAGATTTACTAAAAGAGTTTAACAAAGAAATATTATACGACTAAAGTACGTTGTCACGGTTGCAGCAACTCTATATTTACTAGGTTTAACTCAACCATATATCATCATACGCGCATTCAATTTAGTACACGTTTAGGAGCAAGACCGAAGGATGCTACATCTGTTGTTACTTAACATTATGTAGACTAATATGACCAAAAGATATCATGATATTGTTATCAATTCTATGAAATACGCAGACAGTTCATCATTTACAGTTGCTAAACAAAAACCGTGAAACTAATTTTTTTGTTTTGCTTATCTTTTGACTTATGTTTGAACTCGATTAGAATATTAGTATTATTCCATACAATAAAATATTTTTTTCGTTAGTCAGAATGTTCTGAAACACTTTTCGGTCATTTTCTACGTCGGTATTTTTTCGTCATTTTGTCTTTCGAGTTATTTACCAATCAAAAATGTTATGACTACTGGCACGCTACTTATCTTTAATTTTCATTTTACTAGCTATCACCGGTGTCACATTTACATGATAAGTTTTTGTTTTTTTTCCAAACGATGTGAAAATAAGAAAATCTTTGTAAACAAATGGCAACTGGAAAAGTTTTTGCTTACCTTCCCAAAATGAAAAATCTGGATAAAACACTGCTACCTTATTTATTGTTCACTGTTTTATTTTCATTTTAAACTAGGTGAAGTGTATTATTGAGTATCAACAACAAAATTAAACACCCACATTTAACGTCGCAGAAAAATTCAATTAAAAAGAAAAACAGCGAATATCGAACCTAAAAATAGAAAAACTGATCTCTATTCAAGCAACAAGCTGTTACTCACCATACTCAATTAACGATCAAACGGCAAAAGTCATATCCAAAATAAGTGAACAAAAGTTCGAACAAAAAATTTCCAAATTAATAATGAGTACAGCTATAACTGCAACAGCTTCAACCAAAGCCATCCGATCAAAACAGGATCGGACTCAAAATTATTTGCTCATATGGATCGACAGTAACATTGATCAAACAAACGCAGATTGTAAAAACACACTGGCGCAATTGCGCAGTGTTGTTAGCGATGTCAATCTTTGTACAACACCAGCACAATGTATCAAATGTCTCAATGATATAGATGACGAGAGAGCTTTCGTCGTCTCTTCCGGTTCTTTTGGTCAACATCTTGTGCCAAACATTCATAGTATGTTACAACTAGAGGCTATTTATATATTTTGTAGAAACAAATCAAAACATGAAGCATGGGCGAAAGAATGGCCAAAGATTCAAGGTGTATTCACGTCGATAAAGCTAATATGTGATTCATTGAAAAAAGTCGCTCGCCATTGCGACCATGATTTGATTCGGATGAGCTTCATTTCAAAACTGATGAATAAAATGGAAGTAGTAGCATCGAGTCAACAAAATCTTGACCAATTGGATCCATTATTTATGTATTCGATGTTATTCAAAGAAATTGTATTGGAAATTGAGGAAAGTGACGGTGAGCCGTTGAAAAAATTTGTTATTTATTGTCGTAACAAGGGCATCAATGAATTCCAATTGAAGTTTTTTCAGCAGAAATACTACAAGAAATCAGCCATCTGGTGGTATAGTTATGAGTTTTTTCTCTACAGCATGCTCAACCATGCTCTACGACAATTCGACATGGGAACCATGGCAAAAATGAGCTTTTTCATTCGTAATCTCCATCGACAACTTGAACAATTGCACAAAGAACAATCAACTATGTATAATAAACAATTTATTGTTTATCGTGGTCAAGGACTCACTCAACAAGACTTTAAACAACTAGTCTATACGAAAGGTGGACTGCTTTCGTTCAACAATTTCTTGTCGACTTGTACAAAACCAAATGGCGCCATCAGATTCGTTCAAAATGCACTGCGAACACATGAAAACATTGTGGGTGTTTTCTTTATTATCACAATCGATCCGAGTGAAGTATCAACTTCGACTAGTCCGTTCGCCTTTATCAAGAATCACAGTGCTTTTCCTCAAGAAGAAGAAATTCTCTTTTCAATGCACACTGTTTTTCGTGTCGGTGATACCAAACAAACGGTTAACAACAATCGTATATGGGAAGTACAATTGACTTTCACAGGTGACAATGATCCGCAACTGGCTGCTCTCACACAACGCATGCGAGAAGAGATCGATGGTATTGGATGGTATCGAATGGGTCGATTAATGCATCGATTAGGTCACTTCAATCAAGTTGAGGAACTCTACAATGAATTACTCAAGGACTCTTCCAGTTACAGTTCTAGAGCACATATCTATCATCAACTTGGATGGTTAAAAAACGACCAAGGACAATATAAAGAAGCAGCTTTGTTTTACGAAAAAGTACTCAAAATCAGTCAAAAAACTCTCCCGGAAGATCACGCTAGTTTGGCTGATACCTACAACAACATGGGTCAAGTGTATCACACCATGGGTTACTATTCGAAAGCACTTCAATTTTACGAAAAAGCACGTAAAATCTACGAGAAAACTCTGTCCCCAAAGCATCATTCATTGGCTACTTCCTACAACAACATCGGTGGAGTGTATGATGACATGGGTGACTATTCAAAAGCACTTCAACTGTACGACAAGTCCCATAAAATCTTAGAAGCTCTGCCTTCAAATCATCCCCTTTTGGCTGCCTCTTACAACAATATCGGTATATTGTATAACCACAGGGGTGACTACTGGAAAGCACTTAAATTTCACGAAAAAGCACTTGAAATAAGAAGAGCTGCTCTACCTTCGAATCATTCCAATTTGGCTGATTCCTACAACAATATCGGTGGAGTGTATATCCACATGGGTGACTACTCGAAAGCACTTGAGTTTTACGAAGAAGCACAAAAAATCTACGAAACAACTCTACCACCGAATCATCCGTGGATGGCTGCTACTCACTTGAATTTCGCAGCGTATTACGAAAAAATGGGTTATTACGCAGCAGCACTTAAATCTTTACAAAATACTTTTCAAATTCTACAAAAAACATTCGAAGAAGGTAATCCAGCATTTTCTTTTATATTCAATAGATTAGGCAGAGTTTATCGCAGTACGAAAGATTACGGGAAAGCACTGGATTACTTTGAAAAGTGCCTTGTCATACGTCAACAAACGTTACCTAATCTACATCCTTATCAGGCTATTACATACAGTGATATTGGTGACGTTCGCCGATTGGTAGGAGATCACCAAGTGGCACTTTCGTTTCATCGAAAAGCATTAAACATTCAAGAAAACGTCCACTGTAATCCTCTGGAATGTGTAACGACATATATAAATTTCGGTGAAACTTATCGAGAAATGGAAGATTATTCAACGGCATTGTCATATTTTCAAAAAGGATTACAAATATGTGACAATAAATTACCAAGGAATCATCCAGATTTTGCTGTAATCTATCACAATTTGGCGAAATTATATTTAGCTACTAGACAATATAATACGGCCATGGAGAATGTTCAACAAGCGATAGAAATTGCCCAACAGAAATTGCCTTCAAATCATCCTCATATTTTAGACTATAGAGAAACATTTGAAAAAGTTCGGAATAATATGTAAATTTCTTCTTTCCTCTCTGGCTTGCTCAATAAACTAGTTCTGATTACTATTCACGCCTTCTGGCTTTTCTCGGCTCATTATTGCGCAGGCAGACAGGAAGATCCTCATGAGTCTGAAACTGATACATGCGAGTAGATCACATCTTGCTACTATGACAATGAACGTAAGTAGGACATACAAGACAACGGCTGAATCCATACGATCATAATACATCTTTCCGAGTACTATGCTATTTTCACCATAACATGCACGTGGAATCTCTTTCAGTCAGACTGCACAGCCACCTAATAAGCTGTGACATAAGATAGTACCTTTTGCCTACTACACAAGAACATAGCTATAAACGAAGACAAGTTAATATACAATAAAGAATTTTATCCTTTTAAAAATATTACGATTAAAACATGTCTGTATATTAAAACATTATTTTACCTGCAATATATGATGTTTAAGTTATCTTAAACACTCGCTTGAGAAGTCCTACTGAGCATTAGGACTTATCAACTTGTATATGTTGTTCTCGACTACAAAATAATTGACTTCGCTGACACTTCTTTTTTCGACTTTTTATTTTGTGAATCGAAAAAAATTATAAAGAATACACCCTTTTTGAGATTGGAATACAAACCATTGTGCAAAGTAATTAATAAATTGACTCTCGACGGAAACGATTCCATTGAAGTCGACAATTCGAGTTCTGAACATTGTACATATTATTTAATATATGTGATGAATACAGAAAAACAATAATTTACTATTTAAAGTAATACATGCGCAGTGAATATATATAAATAAAAATATGAAACCATATTAACATATAATATTTATTGCAATAAATTTCATAATCATTGTAATATTAAATGAATAAATGCATCTTTGTAATAGATATGTATTTTTAATACCTAAAAAGAATTGATTAATGTACTTAATCAGTCTGTTGATGACGAGTTCGTCGATTAAATGGTATGAATTGGCAGCGGAAAACTATTCCTTGTATATATTGTCAACATTAACTGTCAAAAACTCTTCATCATCAACATTTTGAAATAAGACATTTATCTGAATAGTAAAGTCCATTTATAGCCATAAAATAAAAAGGCAATACTAAGCCTTATGTTATCGACTGATGTTGACTAAACGTATTTACATATTGTTTTTGACTATCATAGTGAATATTTTTTATTATAAAGTTCTGAGGAAAAAATATTTGTCAATGCATTGATTGATATGTATATAAAAATGTTATCTATCACTTATTTATTTATTGGATGACGTTGATCAATGTACAATATTGAAATGTTATAGATAGTAAATATTGAAGATTTCATGATCGTTTTTGAGCGTGAATATTTCTTTTCAGAACTAATTAATGAATAATAAAAATGAAAAAATTTAATTTTACTGTAAGTACTGAGTGAGACTACATGTGTAGGTCTGAATGAGGGTCTTCCTTGAGCTCGTATTTACACGAGAGATATCCATCGCTCGTGCAGGATGGAGGCAACCACCCCGCGCGAGAAATTATTTCGCACCTTAATGCTGAATATCACTCATAATCTTGCGGTCGCGCCGCCCAAGAAACTGTGAGAGTGGCATGAAGCGATCTCAATTTTCGCCAATGAGATTTGCATTAACATAAGAATGGTAAATGATTTCACCTAGATTTGATTCTGGTCTTTCGAAGACTTTCATAATTTTTCCTGCTCATAGCAACCGACTGAAGAATTATTCACCAATTTTAATTATCTCGGATAAAAAATGAAGATCAAATCGTTAAGAGTGTATTTTAAAGGGTATATAGAAAATGAATGAACACTCATATTGAAGATTGAAAAATGTTTGTATTATCTCGAGACATCGATCTCTTGGGCCTAGTTCGAATGAATTTCTAGTGACTCATCATTCTCTAGGAGACCACGACACGAAGTACAAATTTTTTTACAACAAAAAATGTGCAAAGTATAGAAACCAAATACGTTCGAGACCGACTACATAAATGTTATAATTCGCACCTCATTAAAAAATATTGTCGAGTCTAGATACTACTTTTGACTGTAATGAGTCATAAGATGAAGAGACGAATATATCTTGTCGTATAATTTATGAAGCAATTGAAGAATAATGAAAAGACAGCATTTGAATATACATACAATTGATTGTTATCTAATAGAGAAGGAAGAATCAGAATCATTTTTTTTTATCGAGTATTACTTCTATGAGTTACATATGCATCAGTCCCAGTCCGAGAGATTATTCATACATTGAACCATTAGCACTTCTGAAAGATGTAAGTGTAAACATGAGTTCTGCCTTCACTCACGCCTACATTCAAACCGTCGTCTGACTTATCGCAAACTTTTTTATTTATCTTTTATCGGAGCTTTTTCTAGCAAATAAATTTGATTCAATTTAAACTGGTCACCCTTTTATATATTCAATATCAAAAAAAGCATGCTAAAGCCTCTGTCGATATGTTTTCGTTCGATCAAAGTTGAGTTTATCCAATTCATTGCTCTTCAATTTCTTGTTATACGATCGTCAAACGATTTCTGTATCCATTTATTAATATACATTGTTTTTTTTTTCGTTTTGAAAAGGAATATGCCATACATAATCATATGTTTCTTAATGGTCAAAGGCATTTATTTGTAACATACTGATAAAGTATATTTATGTCTCGTGATTAATTAATTTCTTTTGACTGAAGTATTTTTTTTTATGTATGAAAACAAAAACTGTGGCATACCACAATATGCTAGAAAGATCTACATATTATGAAGGGATTGACGGAAAACGGCGAAAAGGAAAATGTCGAATTGGCAAAATATCGAAAAAAAAGTAGGAAAACATCGAAAACGAAAATGCAGAAGATTAAAACGACGAAAGGAAGAACAGCGAAAAAAAAAAGGAAAAAAGGAAAACATCGAAAGGAAAACGTCGAAAGGAAAACATCGACAGAAATATATCGAAGAGATGTGAGGATGGAGTGTGGGTGTGGGGTGGGTGTGGGGTGGGTGTCGGGTGAGTGTGGGTGTGGGGTGTGGTGGATGTGGGTGTGAGTGTGGGGTGTGGGTGTGGGTGTGAGTGTGGGGTGTGGCTGTGGCTGTGGGTGTGAGTGTGGATGGGTGTGAGTCAAACTCTTCTCTCGAATCCCACACCCACACTCACACCCACATCCCAAAATGCATTTGTAATTTTAATGATGTTCCTTTTTTTCTTTTACATATTCAAATGAAATGAATGACTCCTTGAAATTTCAGAATTAGAAAAATTTCATTTTCGATATTTTCCATTTCGATGTTTTCCTTTCGATATTTTCCGATCTCCTGTTTTTCTATTCGACATTTTCTTTTCGTCATTAAATTTTCTGCATTTTCCTTTTCGACATTTTCCTATATTTTTTTTCGCGGTTTTCCTTTTCGGTATTTTTCTTTTCGCTGTTTTCCACCAAACCCATTATGAATACGTATTAGTGATATATGCGTATATAAATACTTTTCTACTGTCATTTTAAGATTTATATAAGAGTATGCTTTGATAATACCATTGTTATATAAGGTTACATTTAATAAGGGAAACCGTTTAAGATTTTTATTTGACAACTTTTACAATAGACAAACATTCGATAAGAAGACATATTTATGAAAGAAATAACAAAAAATTTATAGAAACTTAATGTTTGATGAGATGCTGACGTAGCCTAGAACGTGGGATGTGTTTTTCTTATTATTTTAGTAACAAAGCTTTTTTGAATTGATTAAACACATATGGTGTTTATTCTTTCTAGTGGGTTATATTTATCTTCGATATTTTTCTCACTGTCTTCGTTTTTTTACTCTATTTTTAAAACAGTTTCATTATTCTTATGCGATGCGTAGTAAACTTTTTCAACTAAACCTTTGTGTGTAGTATCATTTTTTTGCTCTTTCTTTCTCTTCTCTCTTTGTATGTTTCTCTTTCTCTCTTTTTTTTCTTCAATTGATCCATTTAAATATTTGTTTGTTTGGTGACTTCATCTTTCATGTCAAACAAGAAGACTTGAAATGTGAAGTTGTTGTGTAATGATCGAACGAATGTATTGGAAACTAAACGAAACATTTAATGTATTCATAAAGAATAGAAACATCAATCATACGAATAAAACAAATGGAAAATGTGCGCTTGAATATCATGAGAAAGAATTTTTTTTTTGTTCGATGACTTTTGTTTGTTACTGTTGTTTTTGTCGTTCGTCAAATCTATGATGATTGCTCATTTTATTTCATCGGCTTCTCTATTTGTTTGTCTGGAATAAAAAACATCGTCAAATCGTTTGTAGTTTGTAACCATTTACAAAATATACAAATCAATATGCGTCTAAAAACACTTCGTAAAGAACGACCAACATTTGAGATTGAAGGTAAATATCGAATAAAAGTTTTTATTTAACAATGTTTCTTTTTTCATTATTACAAAAATAATGTTCGTATCTATTAGGTGCTATCATCAATGGCAGTCGAATGGATATATCAAATAGTGATATAAAAGCAACTAGACATCGATCTAACACTTTATTTGCTTTTCCAACATCTCTAAATACTGAACCGTCTACTTTAATCGTTTCACCTTTGGATTACACTGATGAAATGAATAATTACTCTCGTGAGCAAACTATTATTCCAACAACATCTCAACCTTTAAATGTCTCGCCTTATCAAGCTATTGAAGCTGCTTATCTTGAACACGGTATTCGTATACGTTTAAGTCCAACAAGAACAGCAGCATCAGGTCAACAATCAGAAAGAAAATCTGCTAATAGCTTTCAACGACGTCCAGCATTTATTAGTCGACATCCAAGTCGAACATCGAGTGTTCTTCATTATGCAACAACTAATCAAGATCACTATAATGATTCTCGATCATTTAGTGCATTACAACAAATGGCTTCGCATGATTTTCAACAAGTACATGAACATAGTGTATCATATACTCAATCATCACAAATACAAGAAGAAACACATGAAGATTACGATTCATCATTGACGAAAGTTAATGAACATTGTAATCTTGTGAATTCACCAGAACTGTTTTCTATGACAAATGGTATCGCATCTTCAACAACATTATATGATAATGACCCTGATCTTATGTATATGACTTCATTAATGAATCAGCCAAGTGGAGAATCTGTTCGAGGTAAATAGACGTGAAAAAGAAGAAAATAAAAAATATCCGTCATTTTTTATGATCTTCAATTGATAATTTGTTTTTTCTTGAAACTAATAATAAAAACAATTCAGTAGCTTTTCTTTTCTTTTTGTCTCATTATTTTCTTTTTCACAGAAACGATTCGTCGACGCGCTGGTCTACGTGGAACATTTGCTGTACATCGAAATCCATTATCAGCAAATTCTTGTCAACCTCAACAACATTCTCGAGAAAAATCACCTATTATAAATCAAACTTCTTTAACACGTAATGCAACGATTGCAGTTGTTCCAACATCATCACCACAAAAAATTGATAATGATATTCTTAAACATGCATCACGTCTCCGCAGAACAAGTGTATCAAAAGACTATTCAACGAAATCTCCAAGAACAAATACAGCTTCTACTTTTAGTTCACCATCAAGAACCCATACAATTTCTATTGCTAGCTCACCATCAAGACCTAATACAGTTTCTATTGCTAGTTCACAATTAAGAACTAATACAATTTCTATTGATAATATACCATCAAGAACAAGTACAATTTCTATTGCTAGTTCACCACTGAGAACTAGTACGATTCCTAGTGCTAATTCATTATCAAGAGCTAATACGATTTCGATTGCTGGTGCATCACTAAGAACTAATAATAATAATAATAATAATAATAATAATAGTAATTATTATTCTCGTAAACGAAATTCAATCAACAAATCATTAAAATCAACTAGCCTAGTAAGTTGTAACATTATATGTTCAATATTGTTGTATTTTTTTGTCGTTTCTTGATGCATATGATGAATGGTAATGGTGGCGAAAATCAAGTAATTAGATACACACATATTTATATCTTAGATATGATCATATATATCACTATAATATTTCACATTTTATCTGTTTCTAATATACACTCATAACGAGTCCTTTTTGTTTTATTAATATGAATTTTTTATTAAAATTCTCAATGTTCATCTATAATTTTCTTAGGAACGACTTGAAATACTCCTAACGCCAACACCACATCCTACACCGTTATCAATATATGATCCACCTACAATAAAGGCATCGTCAATCACTCATAGCCTGAAAAATCCTATAAAACGAACGAAATCAGCTGTAACTCCAACTACTAAAAATTTGAATACTACTAATGTTTCATTAAGAGAACATTCAACTTCATCATCAATATTACGTGATGAAAGTTTATCGTTAATGAAAACATCTACATCAGATGTAGCTCGTCAATCAAATTCAATTGATTCAGGTTGTTATGATCGAAGTAGCAGTGGTGGTGATATACAAAGTTTTACATCTTCAAGTATGGTACGAATACCAAGTTCAATACCATCGACACGATTAACTAACTCAGCAGCACGTCGTTCAAACTCAAATAAAAGAGTTTCGTTCTATGAAGAACCTACGGCAGTTATATTAACAACAGCAACTTATGTATAAAAAAAAAAGAATTATACACAATTAGATCGAGTAGTGTGTGTGAGTGTGTTTGTTTATGAGCACTGTTCTTTTTCATATTTAAAATGAAGCGAGAAAAAAAAAGCATGAGTAATAATGTTTATAACAATAATAAACAGCATTGACAATCATGATAAAGTTACAAATATTAGCATGGTATCGTCAAGGATTTATTGTTAGTTAAGAAAAGAAAAATTCATATGACTAACTAAACACAAAACCAAAGAAATGCTGGTAGTTATTTTTTGAATAACTTTTGTGGACCAAAATTTAAGGTTTTTTATTTTCCGTTTTTGTCTCGAATGATAAGCGATCGAAATCTGATTTAAGAGGTGATACAGATAGTGTGAATGACGGACTATAAAAATGCACTATGGGAACTGACTAGATCTTTTCACTCGAGTTTTTTAAAAATCAAAAAATGATTATTAGACGAAAAAACGTTTTTTTTTGCCTTTTTAGTATTTCGCTGTTCCTAACCAAGAGATTTCCGCCGAAAAAATGCAAACCTTGCTGTTTCGATAGAGAATTTCAAGGGCTATCCATTGCTAAACTGACTTTCGACTTTGGATCCTGTCGTCGCCATCTAAAATCCGTTTTATTTAATCCAATCGTCAAAAAATGAACAAGAGCGGTTTACTTCCTTAAATTAAATTCTATTCAAACACATTATTATTCCAAAAGAAAGAGTATAAAAAACTGCATCAGATGATGATTATTACAGATGCCAAAGAACATCCATTGAAAGTTATACGATGGGCACGCAAGAAATTATTAAATTTTCCTATGGGTATACCAAATTTATCCATGTTAACAATAGCATCATCTAAAAGGAATAGAATTGATATTTGTTAAAAATTTAAAAATCAAAAATATTTTTGATCATCGGTTGTTCTCGAATAATGATTTTTCATTATCTCTGTTTGGGTGCCTTTACACAATCCATATAATTTCTTATCCATGTTCACCACTTTGTTTTCAGAGATCAAACAGATTGATGTATGGTCAAAGTAGTTAGTGAATGCAGTGCGCGTATCTGTAGAAAAATTGCATATCCATTTAAAAGTATGATTCTTCTCCAGATCGACGACACTCTAAGTGACTAATTGGTTTAATTGACAGAGCACGTCAAATGGTGTGAGTGCCACAATGTTGCTAATCTGAAGAAGTACTGACAAACGATATCCTTTACTAATTAGTATAATTGACATAAGATTTTACTCGAAACCAATGTGTTGAATACACACTAAGATCTTTCTGAATTGAAGTTTTTTTTCTTTGTTAGTAATGAAATTTTATATTAAGTTGAGTCATTATTTATTCAACGATCATTTATATCAAAATGAATAATAAATAATAATTGAAAGTGATTTTGTTGAATATTAGCATAAGTTAACAAATTTATTAACAAAAACAAAGATCTACCACACTGATTAGATATAAATTGTAAAAAGAAAAACAAACTCAACAATTAACAAATTAAACTAATTCAGAAGAAAATTTGTTGCGTAAAAAACCAAAAAATTTATCACACATGAGTTGTAAATAGAAGAGAAAAACAACAAAGTATGAGAAAGAAAACAGATTACTGTTGCGTATGAGTATCTGCAAAGAAGAAATGATTTTAAAATTGTTGTCAATGCAGTTCATTATTAGCTTATTAGTAAATACTTTATTACAAGTATAACTTTGACTAATAGTAGGTGGTAAATTATTTTTTATTATCATTATCAATTTTTTTTTTAAAATAAAACTGATATGTCTTTGAAAATAATATTAAATAGTGGTATATATGTAATTAACTCTGGTTTTGAATAAAGAAATATTGAGAATATAACACATATTGTACCAATAGTGAATAAAAATGTTAGTTGAAAATCAAAAAGTCCTATACTAATAATACATGATATTATAATAGCTGATGATGTTGCAAAACCTTTCAATATATTATCAGCATATTTAACAACTAATGCAACAAGAAGTCCACCTGCTGATTGAACTGTTATTGCTATCCATACTATATCTGTATAACCAAATAAAAAGCCTTTTGTTTTCATTTGTGTTCCATCGGATATATATACGGTTAGAAAACCAAATAGCATACCAAATATACCTAATTGAATATTACGTATCCAAACTGATACGTCACTACCTTCTTTGAGAATCTTTTCAAAATATACACCGGCTAAGCCACTTAATGTGCCTAAAGTTTATTATTTGTTAATTTCAATTAAATTGGAAAATTTAATAATATAGAACTTACAAGCGCTAACAACAGAAATTAATCCTAATACAGCATTAACATCGTGCTTTGATGTTGTTGATGTCATATTCTCGATTTGTACTAGAGAAATACCAAGAAAAAGAAGAAATAATGCAAGCCATTGAACAAGATTTAATGGACGACGAAGTATTAACACCGTAAAAATAGCTGTAGTGAAAATTTTTAATTGAAAGCTGACCTGAAAAAAAAATTAAACCAAACTTAAGAAAATCAAAGTTACTGATAGGAAAATATATATTGCTTCAAAATTAATTTGTTATAACTCATTCTATTTCTCATCAAGATTTCTTGAAGTGTAAATACTATTTTAATTCCTTTGAAGTTCGCTATAAAGGCGACTGCTTTACTTCTCGAACTCTACAGACTGATATATAGATCAGATTAAAACTAACGTTTGACAACCGGAAACATTTCTAGGACACTGATGTGTAACCTAGTCGACCTTTTTTCTCTGTGAATCTTAGAAAAGAAATTCCATGTAAGAAAGTGCAATTGCAAGTTTCAATTACTTTCCTCATCGAACATTTTTCTTACTAATAAAAGTTCAAATCAGGAAAATGTATTTACTGGTGTTCATCACGATCGAATGGCTAGTCGTCATCGACCATTAGAGCTGAGTTAAGATCTCTTTAACCAAGCTTTCGACCAAGGTTTAGGTAGATACGCAAAAATTAAAAAAAAACAGAATTTTTGTCTAAAATTTAGTTTATATATAGGTCGAATGACTCATAGAATATTCTGTAAGTTTCAGCTGAAAAGCATGTTCTTTTGTCAAGATATCGAGTTAAAAAAAAAAAACTAATCGTTTGCCAAAAGAATAAAATACAAAAAAATTGAGTTTACTTAAACATTCAATATCTTGACAAAAAGATAAACATTCCTTGTAGCTGAAACTTTCAAGATATTTTATGAACTATCAGATCTATCGATGAGCGAAACCTTATGTCGAAATTCTTTTTTTGTGATTTGTCAGTAGTATATACCTAAAGCTAGGTCAAAAATTCAGTAAAAAAGACCTTAACTTGATTCTAAAGATCCATGGTGACAAACTATTCTAGTCTTGTCAAGATCTCATGGTGTGGGTCGCATATGAGCTCAAACAGTAGGTATCAATCTGAGTAGTTCCCTTGTTAGTGGAAATTCTTTTTTTTCTCTTATGCACATGAAGTTCTTCAGCAAGAAAGTTATATAATATGGACATATCTTGAAGTCTGCTTATGTCAAGGACATCAAAAACAAGGTAGACTAGGATATTATCGAGAAAACTGTCAAGTTAATTCTGTGGCAAAAAAAGAATTTTTTCTTTTTCCTGCTTTTTTTCTACACATACTTGAAATGTAGCTGCATCTAAATTCGAAATTGAAACAAAAAGAAGATTATTTTGTAATGTATAAAGTAATGCCGGTATGCCAGTTTTAAATGTATCTTTTGATTGACGTATGATTTTATTGTATATTAATTTAAAACTTTTAATAACACTTCTTTGCTCATAAATCAATAATAAAATACTAAATATTGTTTTTTGAATTTCAGAATTAAGTACAGCTGTTGAATTTATAAAGCGTGGTCCTGGTGTTGTACGTACATAACGTAATAATAATATACTAGTAACATTTTGTAAAGTTAAAAAAATTAAACTAACATGTTTCATATAAGATTGAGATGAAGGTAAAGGTTTATGTGATACTGAACTACGCACTAAAACTAAAAAGAAAGGAAAACAAAATTTAATTAAATGAAAAAAAATAAAAACGATGTGTAGGTATATTCATGCTATTCACGCTCATTCCTTTTATATTTCAAACCATTCATTTAGTCATACTTTTATTTTTCTTTGATGCTTTTTTTTTAGATTTTTTCATTTTAGCTGATACTTGTTGTCGTTTTCTTTTAGTATTCATAGTCTAAACTAGTTAAAACAACAAAAAAAAGCATTAGTAGTTATGTGTTCTTTTTCACACTATTGTTATTAGAAGATATTAATATAAGTTTCCTAGGTAGAAAAACAAAAGATCTATTCATATGATAATCTTACTTGTATAAGAATTTCGATCGAGTAAAGTATTTTCAATGTCTCTTATTTCTAGTCCCATTTTGTCGCTCTTTAAAAAAAAAACATAAATTATAGTTACAGACAAATTCTTGTTTTACCTTGTATGTCATAGTTATTTATGTCCAATAAAAGTAAACAAAGACGTCATGGATGCTTTTGAAAAAATTACCTTGTAGATGAGTTTGCGTTATCTATAATTAAAATCATAAAATTGACAAGCAATGTACAGATATGGTCATATTTTTCTGATTATTCTTTTTTGTTTTGTTATATTTGAGAAAATGAAGTCAAGAATAACAAAAATTGTTGTAAGTATCAGTCATTTAAATTGTGACAAAATGATAAAACAAAAAAAGCAATTATACACTCATAAAGAAAACAGCAAAAAAATGGTTTATTTATTTCGAGACTTTTTTTTCGCATTGTTTATAATTGGTTTTTTAGCTAATTTAATCATAGCATCTTCTTCTATATTATTATCATCTGTAATAATATTTTCTTCTTGTTGTTCATCATCACTTTCTTCATCCATAAGTCCTTTAGATTTTTTTAATTTTTTCATATCAATTATTGCGTATGGTGTACGATGATTTATTTTATTATAATTTCTTGTTAATAAAGATTTAGTTTGTGTATCAAGTTGTTCATATTGATTTCGACCTGTTTTCAACCATGTATTCAATTCAATAATTGTTTGAAAATCATCACGATTAAGGTAATAATCGTCAAGTAATGAAATACATTGTTCAATACCTTTATCTTGTTTGAAATTTTTTAATGGTGATATAAGTGCTTGACTTAAATAAGATACATAATCAAGATTAAATTGTTGTTTATTTGTTGATGTAATTTTTAAACAAATATGTTTTTCAATTTCATTTAATAATCGTTCATTTTTATTTGCACGAGATCGTTGACCAAAATATGATGAAAAATTAACCATACTACGAAGATGACCACGAACATATGAACACGGTGTAACAGTTGAAAAAATAGCCTTTTGAAAAAGAAAATAGTATATAAAGAAGTAAATAAAAGAATATTATTTTTATTTTACTTGATAAGGTAAAAGAGACCAACTTTCATTTTTACTAAAAATCATTTTTGAACATATATCACCTAAACACATACTATCAGCAGCTTTTGATATTAAACTTAAATGTTCAATATCAGTTAATGTTTGTTTTTGTTTATTTATTGTTGATAGATGAGGTTGACATTGTAAATAATTTTCTTGAATTAATAATGGTATTAATTGATAATCATGAAAGAAAATATCACTTTTATCTGTTAAAGATTTTTTACGATATTCATCCGAAAATGATAAACGACATAATTCAAATGGATTCGTATTTATTGTTTTTTCAATCATTTTTGCTGCTAGTTTATTTGTATTTGTAATACCTGGAATAGACCACAGATTTAATGTATGTATTGTTTGACGAATATCATGATTACATGATTCAATTATTTCATCTAAAGTCTCTTGTTTTATATTTTGTATATTTTCTCGATGAAGAATAGTTAACATTCCAGCACGAATTTGTTGAATTGTTGGACGATGAAAACGTAAATCATAACAATAATTAGCTAATGAACGGATTTTTTTATGTTGTCTATCATTACATATACATATTATTGGTATACGAGTTCGTTTTATTAATGATATTAATTCTTGTACACCACCACGATCTTCATTACCAGATACACCATCAACTTCATCCATAATTAAAACATATTTAGATATTGATGATGTTTTATTTGAAAAATTTGCAACACTATATGTATCACTTGATAGATTAGTCATCGATTTTTTTGATCGTTGATCTGATGCATTTTTTTCAATATATTCAAAATTTAAATGTTGACAAACTAATTGAGCAGCTGTAGTTTTGCCAATGCCAGGTGGACCGCTAAGTAAAGCCGCCTTAAACATAGCTGGATCTTCATTACGATTGAAGGTAAATGATGATTTTGCTTTAACTTTTTCATCACTATGACCATGATGTTTATACCAATCACGTAACCATACAATTAATTTTTGAACACAAGATTTTTCACCTTGTTGTCCGATAAGGCTTTTTATTGTTTGTGGTTTGTATTTATCAACCCCTATGACGTTAAAAATAAAAATAGCATTTTCCTTATCTATATAATAGATACTTACATAGTAAATTTGATTCAGCAGCAGATGTTATTGGTGTTATTGTAGGACCAGGATCATCTATAGGCTTGCTTACAGTTGAAGAAGATTTTCGTTTTAGTTGCATCGAAGATGATTTTGATGGTGTAGATAATTGTTTTTTAGATGTACTTTCATCTCCTGGACGTGTACGAATCATTTCAAGAAGGTCATCTTCAGAAATAACCTTAATATTTATCTGTCGAGCTTTATTTGTTTTTGTTTCACTAGCATCACGACCAACAATAAGATAATTAGTTTTTCCACTAATTGTTATTGTTACTCGACCACCATATTTTTCTATTACATTTTTACATTCATCACGTTCTAACGATTCAAGTACGCCTAAAATTTTATTTTCTTATTCGTTTTTTTGTCAGAAATCTATTTTGTTTACCAGAAATAACAAATGTTAAATTTTTCAAACAGTTTTTTTCTCCATCGGGAATTGTTTTTGAGCCCGGTGCATCAGGTCCACCACGATTCATATATGATTTAAAACTCTCCGAACGTTTTTTCTTCTCAATTGGATCAATTTCTTTTGTTTTCATTTTTTTCGGTGGTGGCGTATTAATAGTATTTTTTGTTTGTGATACAACTTTTTCAACTGAAGTTTTACTCGATGGTGTCGTATTAATAGTAGTTTTTGTTTGTGATACAACTTTTTCAACTGAAGATTTACTCGGTGATTTTTGTTCAGATTTTGATACAGGAGTAATTTCTTCATCATCAATTTGTTCTCGAGTACGCTACAACTAAACATTATAAATATCTTAATATTAAAATATATGTAAATTACTTTTTTATTTGATGTTGGACATTTTTTAAAAAAGTTGCGAATATCAGACATTTTTGTTATTTTATGTAGTGATGATCATTTGTACCAGAATGCGTATGTCATGCACACAAATCTTTGGTCATCGATAAAATATAGTGTCGTAACAATCAATGAAAATTTACAGAGGCGAATGTAAGAATAACATGGATGAAAAACAGCCAATCGCCATTGAACGATTTTAAGAACAAATTTATGAGAAAACATTTGTTTTAAATTTCTAAATGATGGTTGTTCCGCAATCTCAAGCAACATCCAATGAATCAAGATTAGAATTAGATAAAAATAAGAAAAATTACATGTAAGAAGAAATATATCATTAAGCGAATTCTTTTTTTCATAAATATTCAATTTTAGTAACACATTAACTTTATCAAAACGATTGTCTGATCGTTATGCTGGTCATCATGCATTAAAAAATATATTCTATCCAGAAACATGTCGTTTACGTGATAAGTAAGAGTAAATTTTTCTAAGTAAATAAAAGAAATATAAATCATATCTCTCTAATTAATATAGATTTAAACAAATGTGTGAAACACTTTTACTCGATGATCCAATTGATTATGGATTAAAAATTATTGATCTTCTTTGGCGTAAAGCTGCATATGAACCAATACAAATATTTAAACGATATCGACAAGAATATGATGAAACAACAATAGTAGAAATTGAAATAATGTATCGTATGCATTTGTTATCTGTATTTGGTTATTATTCAAATTTATTAATTAAATTTGTATCAATGATAAAACCATATCGTAATATGAATCATTTTTTTGATTTTATTCAATTATTTAATGAAAATAAATGTATGTAAAAAAAAATTTTATTTAATTAAATATGTTCATTTTGAATTAGTTTAGCTGTTAATTTAACAACAACAACAAAAATTGAAAATTTAGTTGAATCATTATTAAAAGTTATTCATAAATGTTTAGTTTGTTTGGGTGATATTAGTAGATATTTAAGTGAATATGATGGTTGTACACAAACAGCTGAAAAATATTATACTATGGCAGTACTTCTTGATCCAGAGATTGGTTAATATTATAGAAATAATAATTTTATTATGATTATTATTTTTTCTTGTTTATTTAGGAATGCCATTGAATCAATTAGGAACTTTATGTGGTCGATCAAATAGTAGTTGTGATGCAGCTTTTTTCTATTTACTTTGTTTAAGTGCAGTACATCCATTTGATGGTGCTAAAGATAATTTACAAATGCTTTTTGAACGTAATGAAAAACGTTTTTTGGAATTAAGTAAACAGCAAACAAAAAATCGTAATGATAAAACAAGGTTTGTTGAATTCATTGATCGAATATTCTAAAAGCTTGTCATGAAGAAAAACAAAGAAATCGTAGATTTGTCTTAAAGCAGTTCAAGTGATTTATCTATTTTTTTTTGTAACATAATAGTATCTGGATTAAAGTTTTTATTTCATATGATTTGGGCAATAACAAATATTCCAAAATGATTTTTATAGACATTGATTTTGTGAAACATAATCTAAAAGGAGTGTTGAAGTATATAGGGTAGAACTTTTTACCCTCACAGACTATGACAGACAATACCATGAAAACATCATAGACCATGACAGAAGGAATTGACAGACCGTCAGAGACACTACAGCAGCACTACCCACGCCTCTTCTCCTGGATCACTGACGGTGACAGGCATTGTTGCTATTTGATCAAAGACTGTATATGAGTAATGTCTTGTTATGACATATGAACTACTTCCTTATTACATTTCTGAGCATTAAGTAAAAGGTTGGAGAAGAAATGTATTCTAAAATAAATAGAAGACAATAATGACACTGTGATTGGCAACAGCAGTCACATCGTATTTCATATTTTAATCCTGCAGGAATTGTTCTCACAGCTTTTTATTTTATGCTTATTGATAAATCGTTTAAATGAAAAGTAGCTTCGTCTAAAAGAGGTGTATCATCTAGATTGTTGATCTTTGTTTCTATTAGTATCAATATTAGTTAACTTCAAACCGATTTTGTGAAAC